GCATGGGAGGAGGTGGTTTCCCCCCTGGATTTGGAGGTGCTGGGATGGGCGGCTCTTCATTTGCTGGAGCTGGAGGTCCATTCGGCGGAGCAGGCCCCAGTGGAGGAACAAGAAGACAGCAATCGCGATCCAACACGCAAAATCCCCCTGGTGGTTTCCAGTTCAACTTTGGGTAAACTCGCGCGATCTTCTCGTCCATCGAACCGGACCCCCCGCCGCTTCTTCTCCTCCCGCCCTCCGACCTCCTGCAGACACGTCCTTTTCAAAATCGCAGATAGAGCGTTCCAAATGTCACGTTCAATATATGATCTTGATGCACGTCTTGGCGAGATTACGTCTGTGCATCACACACTTTTTTTCAATGACGTGGTGCGCTATGATCGCAAGGAAAGATATTCAAAATAATTTGCATTGCATTGCGGGCTCATTCGCCGCACTTTCTTCCATGGCGCCTTACAATTTCACCCGCCCCGCCGAAGCTTAGCGGACAATCATGCTTTCCCTTCCAGCTCCCACCCCGATCCATTTGATGTGGACTCCCAAAAATTGCTCGATGCGCAGCACGTAAGCTTTGCATTTTTCGGGCAATTGTTCAAAGCTTGTAGCCTTTGTGATGTCCTCCTTCCAACCAGGCACAGTCTCGTACACCACCTCCACCTCTGCCAAGCTTTCCAGATCGGCGGGAAAGGATTGAAGATCTTTGCCGTGCAGTCTATAAGACGTGGCAATCTTTAGCTCGTCCAGACCGTCCAAAATGTCTAGCTTGGTCAGGTTGAGAGAAGTGTAGCCGTTTACGAGGCACGAGTAGCGCAGCACTACTAGGTCTAACCATCCGCATCGTCTTCTTCTGCCCGTTGTGACGCCGTACTCTGCACCCACCTCTTGGAGGTGGACACCGATGTCCTGCGACAGCATCAAGGTAGCACGTGTCAGCGAGACCGGTCGTTCTAGATTGAGCGAGGTAGAGGAGGGTTTGGCGGGAAGGGGGGCATCGCAACACGTAGGTTTAGCGCCCCTATTGTGGATAGAAAACTCACATTCAGCTGCTCAGTGGGAAAAGGTCCTCCTCCAACTCTCGTAGTGTACGCTTTGGCAACCCCAATCACCTCGCCAATGGACTGAGGAGGAATGCCCAATCCCGTGCAAACACCTCCAATGGAGGTGGAGCTGCTGGTAACGAACGGGTAGGTGCCAAAGTCCAGATCGAGCATCAGCGCGTTTGCACCCTCCACCAAAATGCGCTTCTTGTCCGAGATTGCTTGGTGGATGAAAGTGACTCCGTCGACGATGTGGGGCTTGAGACGCTCAGCAAACGCCTGTCCAATACGAGCGTGTAGTGTTTCAGCTTCAAGGACAAGTCGAGCGGCACGCCAAGCAGATGATCACATGCTCACTTTGTAGCGCGCAATCTCTCCCTCTGTATCGTACTCGAAATGACCATAGCGCTTGATGCGACCCTCGACCAGCTTGCGGAACTTCGCAGCAAATTGCTCTGGGTCATACAAGTGATGAACGCGCAGACCGGATCTGGAAGCCTTGGAAGAGTAGGCGGGTCCAATTCCCTTCTTTGTCGTTCCAATGCTGCTTCCTCCTAGCTCGATTTCCTTCAGACCATCCACCACTTGGTGAAAGTCAAAGACCAGGTGCGCGCGATCTGACACGAACAGACGTCCGTCACAGTTCAGACCTATTGAATTCCGGCCAGAAGGGGAGAGCGTCAATGCGGGGACTCAGCGGAAGCTCGTACGGACACACTCACCCTTCTTCTCGAGCGCGTCCAGCTCTGCAAAGAATGATGGTACGTGGACCACCACACCCGAGCCGATGAAGCCTACGCATTTTGGGTTGACCAAGCCTGGGCGCATACAACGGGTCGAATCAATTCACACAAGCAGCACTCGTGACAAGGCGCGATGAGGACGAGTACAACGGTGATACTCACCACTTGGGAGCAGATGAAAGTCGAACTTTGTGCGGACAGGCTTGTCGTCTGGGCCAGGCATGTTGACCACGATGGTGTGTCCAGCATTGTTACCTCCAGCACACCTCGCGCAGACGTCCATCTCTGCCGATAAGATATCCGATAGCTTGCCTGTAGCAGCGCAGCAAGCAAATCAAAGCAGCAGGTTCAGTCGCTGAAGAGACCTAGACCTCATCATGCTCCGGCTACCATACGACTCACCTTTACCCTCGTCACCCCATTGCGAACCAAGCAGAACAGTCACGTCTGCTCCGTTCCTGGAGGTGGAAGGCTTGGGCAAGGAAGCCATCTTGAGCTAGAGCAAGATTGGCTAGAGAGCCACGCTTCTTTCTGCGGAGATGGGAATGGAGCGAACGGATCCAGGGGTGGTGGTGAATATGAATCGGTTCGTGGATTCCAAGCCAAGCACCCGATCTCTTTCAATCAGAATCGTGAATCGCGGTGCGGTGCTTTGCTGCACCCGGCACGGCTATACGGTACGCGCACCTCTGCGGTCGCGCGGCGCGCGGTCTGATGCCCCCACGAATGCGAATTGTACACCCACGACCGATTCATGGTGCGTGGTGCCGGCACAACAATCACGAATCACGAATATGAATCACGAGAGGATCGCTCTCACCACCTCTCACCACCTGCACCTTCTGGCCCAGCAGTCCGGGAGTCTCTTTTTGATAGAACGACTTATGCACGTCTCGCGGTCTCATCCCCTGCTCATCATCAATCATGACTCGGACACGTTGCTCCAGCTTGCGTGCGTGCGCATGGCGCTCAAATGACCGCATATTCACCAGACGCAAGCTCTCATTTACAAAGTGCTGGTCTTCTTGGCAGCCAGCCACACCTGCGCAGCAGAGGAAGGTTGCCGAACTCACGATCGACTCGTCCAGATCGTGACTCGGCTACACACGATGATAGCTGCCCTTGCGGTTGTTTTGCCGTGTTGAGGATCGTGTCACGTGACATGTCTTCAAAAGTAAATCTCGTTGAAATTTGGAGTTTTGAGTTTTGAGTCTGATTTTGGATTTTGGATTTGATGCACCTCAAACCTCCCGTTTGCGTACATTCACGATTCTTGACAAAGCCTGATCTGCACTTCTGAGTGATCAAGATTTTTGATAGGCTCACGAGGAGCTTCTATTTCATCTCGATAAGGCGTCATTGACACTGATCACAGCTATTCGTTCCGCGCTTGCAAAGCTGCGATTGGCTGCCCAATCCGCTGCACTGCGACATGGTCCTCGGACGTACTACTCAGCTTCCCGCCGCATTGAGGGAAGAGCTAGGCCTCCCAGCTTCCTCAAAGAGGCGCGGCAGAGGAGGTTCTTTCTTTCAAAGAGACCGCGGCAGGACTTTCGAGGGACATCAGAGAGCTACACAAAGCGCTGAAAGGTCGGACGGGCGACACAAGAAGCAGGATGGTCCCAAAGTCATCAGCAGACAAACTCGGCGCGAAAAGGGTCAAGGTGGACCGAGGCAAGGCCAAGTAGACCAGTCAAATCGAGCAGATTCGAAAGGCAAAGCACCAGAGAAGGCATCTTCTGATGATCGAAAGCGACCACGGCGTTGGAGCGAGGAAGCAGCGAGGGTCAGCATTTCCACTCAGCAGAAAGGCGTCTCACCAGATAGGTCGACTGCCCTCGAACGACTGCTGAGTAAGGGCGATGCTGCGTCAAGAAGTGGCAAAGGATTCTCGGAAGAGGCGGGAGATCCGCATCGAGGCAAAAGGCGCAAGATGACTCAGCAAGAGCGTGATGAGGAGGATGAGATCGCTTGGCTGGAAGCGCACCTGGATGGCGGAAGAAAGAAGAAAACAACTTCGAAAGGGGACACTAAGAGAGACGACGAGGAGAGCATCGGCGGAGGGGATGACGGCCTCGATGGTAAGTCTCGATGATATCCGCTGTGAATGGAGAAGGTGCGAAGCTCATGTGCGCGATGTTTTGGTGCTGGCCAGATCTGCTTGGGGAGCTCGATCGATTCTACCCTGGCATGTATGCCGATGGCTCGGATGCTGGCGAACGGGACACGGAAGACGAGATCAACAGCCATAACGAGCTGGAATCCATCGCCGAGAGCGGCGACGGTGATTACGATGATGACGGGGAGGCCGCGTTCGAGGGATTCAGTGAGGCTGCATCCTCAGGCACCGACTCGAGCGCTTCTGTCTCTTCGTCGCCGCCGCCGCCGCCACCACCACCTACTTTGCCTTCCACAGGCAAGTACCTGCCACCTGCGGCCCGTGCAGCGGCAGCTGCTGCGGTTAGCAAAACTTCCAGCAGCTCCTCAGAGACGGATCAAAGGCTGCGAAGACAGGCAAATGGGCTGCTGAACAGACTCGCAGAAGGCAACCTAGCGGGCATCGTTGGGGACATCGAAGGCTTGTATCGCTCGCACCCTCGAGCTTCTGTCAACAACACCCTGAGCGACCTCATCATCGCCAATGTCAGTAGCCCCTCAGATCTGATAGATACCTTCCTAATTCTTCAAGCTGCTCTAGTCGTCGCACTTCATCGCATCATCGGCGTCGAATTCGCAGCTCAAGTTCTCCAAGGAGCAGTCGATCGACTTTTGCAAGCAAGGAAGGAGGCGCTCGAAAGGGAGTCTCAAGGCGAGCTTCCGAGCAAGGAGGCGGCAAACATAGTCGGCTTGCTGGCTGGAATGTACAATCTCGGATCGTTGGCTCACCCGCTCATGTACGACTTTATGCGTCTCTTTCTGAGCGACGCAGAAGCGATGGGAGAGCGCAGACTCGGCGAAGCGGATGTGGAATTGCTGCTGAGACTCGTCAAGTCATGCGGCGCAGCGCTCAGGCACGACGATCCGACGGCGCTCAGAGCCATCGTGCATCTTGCACAGGAGAAAGCTGCTGCGATAGGTGAGGGCACAGTCGTGAGTGGCCCGCAGCATGGTTCGGCGGGCCAGAGTGAGACGATTAGCACTACGCGCATTCGCTTCATGCTGGAGGCGCTGTCGGACTTGAAGAATAATCGCACCAAAGCTGCTGCGGCGCTGGAGTCCTCGCCAGCGGGGCAGTCGCTCAACAGGCTGCGCAAATTCATCTCTAGCTTAGCAAAGACTCGAACGCTGCGTTCCCGTGATGCCCTCCGCATCGGCCTGCAAGATCTCAAGGATGCAGAGAGTCGCGGCAAATGGTGGCTCGTGGGAGCAGCTTGGGCGGGTCAGGAAGGCAATGCATCTGCCGAGGGCGTGACTGCCAGCAGACGACTGAGGGAAGATGCGCCGAACAAGGACTCGCAAGAATCCAAATTGCTGATACTAGCTAGAGCGCAGGGGATGAACACGGAAGCTAGACGAAACATCTTTGTCACCATCATGAGCGGCGAGGATTACGCCGATGCCTCCAATCGTCTGCTTAGTCTGAAGCTCGTCGAGGCTCAACGCCGAGAGATCATCAGGGTCTTGTTGCATTGTATTGGCGCGGTGAGTCATAAACGTAGCATATTCCAAGGGCCGGAAGTTGATTTTGCCATTGCTTCGATCGGCAACTCTGCAGGAGCCGCATTACAACCCGTACTATGTCCTCATAGGTGTACAGCTCGCTACCGACTCTCCGGGTACACGAGTCACCATGCAGTACTGCTTATGGGACTTCCTACGAAGTCTGGGCGAGAAGCACGTAGGCGGCAAGACCATCGTGGATCGCGATGCTTCCGAGTCTGAGGACGAGGATGACGATGTCTCGTCCAATGCAATGCGCGCAAGGAAGATGGCTCATCTGGCGCGCGCGTATGGATGGTGGATCGCTAAGGGAGCTCTCGGCCTCAATGTGCTCAAGGTGAGCTTGCCACGGCTTCTTACGCGCCACGTGCAACGTGCAGCCCTCTCACGCTTGACCGTTTCATCGGATTCGCCCTACGCAGACGGTCAGCTTTGCGACTCTCAAACCTCGCGGAGCGCGATTCCTTCAGCTTTTGCTCGCACACGTCCTGCTCTCCACCCAAGTCTCGTCGCCTTTACAAACGCTGCGCATCAAGTCCGCTCCATCTTTGAGCAAGACGAAATCTTTGGGCGCGGGAGATGGACAGGCTCTGGAGGAGGTCTTGGTGTCTGGAACTGTGGGTAATCAAGATCTAAGCAAGGGACTGCTCTACTTTATCGATGCGCACGTCGCGAAGAAGAACGAGATCGCGCAGCTGGTTGGACGGGGCGAGGAGGTGGAGGGGACACGCACAAGACTTTTTTGGGCTGCTTCCACGGCCAAAGAAGTGTTGAGCGTTGGCGCGACAATCAGACCATTCTGATGTGTCGCACACGATGTCATTCGGAAAGCAGGAGATGCAAAGAATGAAGTTTGATTGCAATCGGACTCGCGACTTTTGGGAGCCTGATGGCGACTTTGGGAGCAGAAGGTGCGGCACAGAAAAGTGAGATGCCTGGGATGGTCAGAGCCGAGATCAAGCACCTTGCTCAGCTGCATCGCACTGGAGCGTCATTCTGGCAAATGTAGGGCTTCAGAGGTGGTTCACCTTTGGTGTAGACCCCACCGCTACCGGCTACGCTGCCTACCAAGGTGGTCACGAAGTCCACAGTCGGAATGACGTCGTCCGAGTTGAGATTGGCATTCGTGAGATTGTAGCTGCGGCCAGTGGGCAAGGGGCAGGGGGGGTCAAGAAAATATCTCGTGCCGCTCGATATCAAGCACACGTCATCCGACGAAAAGGCACATCGCGAGACGCAAGCGCACGCGCCTGCTAGCCACTCACCATTGAATCTTGTCAAACGTGTGCAAATTCGGCTTGCCGGTGGGCGAGATGAAGGCGGCTAGGGTCATGGCGTAGGCTACGGGTGTTGCGAGCATGCTCAGGTGATCCGCTATTGCTAAAGGTCCGCAGAAATCTTGGATCGGCACTTGTACGGAACCTTGAAGACGCGACGAGGTGTTGGGACCGATTTGAGGAATCACAATTTCGTCTGTTCCTGAAGCGCGCAGCCCAGGCATGAATGTACGAGTGGAGGTGGACGCAAGTCAGCAAGGAAATCTGGAGATGGGGAGCTGCTGCAATGCCTTGCACGGTGACGCACGAGTGAAGACGCTCGTCGTGCTGTGGAGGAACGCATCGGCAAAGGTGGACATGATGATGCTGCGTCAGCTCCAGCAGACGGTTGCGTGAGTAAATGCAAGGGCACTCTACGCACGGGACGATCTCTTGGCTCATAAAGTATTGCTGAGCCTTCAAAAACTGGCTGTCCATCTTTTGTTGCAAAAAGCTAGCGCTGCAGCCTTTTCCGCCACTGAGAATGGTCTGCACGGCGCACACGGGGTCTGGCAATAAGGTGGTGCCGTGGAAATCGGCAGCTAGACCTACGAAGGAAGATACTTTGGAACGGGCTGTTGGGAAGTAGATGAGCGCGTGGGGAATGTTTAGACCGCCACCCTGAGAGTGGCCGACTAGAGACACTTTGCCCGTCGACGACCGTCGTGAGAGAAATTGAATGGCGTAGGCTACGTATTCTCCGCCCACTTGTACGTCGGACAAGCCTTTGTTGGGTAGCGTCACCCAGCAGACTATGCAGGGAAAAAAAGTGTCAGCAGGTGTTTGTGCGTCAGATTCGACAAGCTCAACGCCGTGCTTCCCCTCCAGCATTGCTCCGACTTGCCGCTGTACCAGACTCGCTTACCGTCAAAGCCGGGTCCCGCATCAGGCAAGAGCTGGACGAAGGGACTCTGTGGCCAGCTGTTCTGACCATCCAATGCTGTCCCATGGACCAACAGCACCACGCCTCCTTTACGTCCCGTTATATCGTTCGGACAAGTAATGGCGCTCCGCATTTTCAGCTTTGAGTCGGTGAAAGTGCCATCTTTGCTTGGCAATGGCACAGCGCGAGGGAAGATGCTCAGGCTTGATAGAGCGTTGACGATGGGCTGTGATGATAGCAGGACATTGATGAGCAGTTGCAGATGTTTCCGATCGGATCGGTCACGAGCTTATGCCTCACTGAGCAGTGGACCGAAGAGATGAGCACGCCTAGAATGGCCATGCCAGTGACAGAGATCTTCATGATGGGAAATGTCAGAGGGCCAAATTGAGTGTTGGGATGAGCCACGAGGATGGATTGTGCAAGGAGGGAAGGAGAAGGCAGCGGGAGGGTGAGAAAATGCACGAGAGTAGCGGAGAGAGAGGAAGGAGTATAGCGATGGATGACGGTGGTGGAGCGCTATTCCGAGAGGAGAAGCGATAGCCACAAGAGTCATGGAAAGCTCATGAATCGCGACCCGTGCCGTGCTACTATTCGACAATCAAACAGATTGCACTCTGACTTCAAGTAACAATCGTACACCAGAGCGTATGCGACCAGCGATTTCAGCTGCCCGACTACGCAAATGTGAATGATATACAAGTCATCTTTCTCAGCGGTACCAGTGTGAGTCTTGCGGGGAGCTTCACAACCATGCAAGACCGAGAAACACAGGATTAGAGCAGGCCTGGCACTCTTGACTTGGCTCGTGATCTGCTCTGTCAAAGATCGCAAGGCTATCTCCCTATGAATCTGTACTTGCTTGACTTACCCCACAAATTGGGATGTTGTAGAAGCACGCTAAGTAGCGCTTGTTCGGCCATACTGCACATCACCGATAGGCATTTGATTTGACTCTTAACACGCGCAGCAATCTTGATCATGAATAATCGCGATCCGTCACCTCTGACCGCTTTATCCGGATGACATCACGTGATCGTCATTGACATTTGACTTCGGACTCTTTCTCCGCGGAGAGCGGCCGTGCGCTGCTTGATTGCGCGCGGTCAAGTGAGTCTGAGTGAGTCTGCATGGCATGGCTCGCAGAAAGACGCAACTTTGCGGGGAAGGTGTAGCGAGCTGTACCTACCTACAGTCGAGTATACAGCGGGATCACGAGGCTCATACTCGACACTGGTCCTGCGACTTGCAATCACACCATCACACCATAGTCGAGTTGCAAGACCATCACGCACATGGTGCTCAAGCTACGACGCACTCGCTGCCAACGACACTGCATCACGCGAGGCGAACACCCGCCTGGAACCGATCTACTTACACAAGGGTGTCTTGAAAGGGACGCGCGTGTGCTGGACCTGCTCGCAAGGGTAGCGAGAAGATGTTGTCCACCAGTCGCTTGCTGCAGTCGGTGGGGAGGGATCGATCCAAGACGATCGGATTCATTGGGTTGGGTGTGAGTGGTCACTTCAAGTCAACCTTCTCATAGGCACATTTAGCATGTCCGCTGAATTCTCGAAATGCTCTCCACGACATCAGGCAATGGGTCGTGAAATGGCATTCAACCTCCTCTCCAAGACGTTCGAATCGCTACCTCGAGACACCACCGCATCTTTCGTGGTGCACGATACGGTGGATCAGAGCGTCACTAGGTTCTTGACCAGCAACTCTAGCATTTTTCCTGGAAGGCATATTGTGCCTGCTAGTTCGCCTGCCGGAGTGGCCAGCCTGGCAGGTACCATCGTCACCATGGTGCCCAGTTCTCCGGGTGCGTAGCATTGCATCGCAAGCGGAGGCCGAGTAGCGCACATGTATGCTAAGCAAAGATGCCTTCCTTATGGGTCCATCGCATTCACAGAGGTCAAAGAGGTGTATCAGGCTGAAGGAGGGATCATCGAAGGCTTGCAATCTTTGGGCAAGCCTCAAGAGAAGGAGAACAAGACTTTGTGCATCGATTGTACTACTCTGGACCCTGCAGCTTCCAACGACGTGGCGAGCCAGATCAAACGGCTAGCTGGCAGCGAGGGCTCCAGCGATGCACCAGTGTGGGACTACATCGATGCGCCCGTCTCTGGAGGTGAGTCCGGTGCCTCTCTTTCTTAACGCGACGTGTGGGGAACGCGCTAATGATGGAGGACATGCCTGCACGCAATTCGCGTTGGAAAATTCTAGGCGTGGTGGGAGCTAGAGCTGCAACCCTCTCATTTATGGTCGGATCAGATTCGAGAGCTTCATTTGATGATGCAGAACCTACCCTGCTCAAAATGGGAAGCAGGGCTGTGCATTGCGGCAAGAACACCAACGGCTTGATCGCAAAAATTGCAAACAATTTGGTCAGTCTTGCTCCCTTGTTCGCAAGACGCTCGACGCGCGATGTGGTGTGCGTTGCTTACCCAGATGCTTGCTGGCTGAGCTCTTTCAGTTGCTCGGCATCTCGATGCTAGGAGTTTCGGAAGCTATGCTCCTGGGAACTTCTCATGGTCTGAATCCACAAGTCTTGGCCCACATTCTAAACACTAGGTGAGCATTCTTCTCACGAGCGTCTGTCGGTCTCCGCTCCGTGTGCTTTGACAACGACGAGTTGACTTACGTGCGGCCGAATCTTATGTCTGTCGCCTCCCCAGTACCGGCAGATGCTGGGCGTCCGAGATCAATAATCCCGAACCTGGAGCTCTCAGCGGAACGAAGAACAGTCCACCGGCAGATCGCAACTACGAAGGCGGTTTCGCAACTCGGTAAGGCGTCCATCTGATGCGATATCTCTTGATCAAGCTGATCAACGTACGAAAACACCTCGCCATCCTGCATCGCGTCTCTCTAGACTGCAAGCGAAAGACCTGCGCTTGGCAATGTCGGCTGCTCAGCAACGAGGCGTGCCGGTGCCGCTCGGTCAGCTTACTGCTAGCATCTACTCCGCTCTGGGAGACAACGAAACGTTCAAGGACAGGGATTTCAGTGTGGCTATCGAAGCGCTCAAATTGGCTCTGGGTAGGGATGAATTCAAGTGAGGAAGGGGAAGGCGCAGGGAGCAAGAGGTGCATGCATGACTTTGGAGCAAACAAATACTGTACAAGGGACCGCTAGCACCTTTTTTGCTGTGACTTTACCGCCGCGCTTCAGTCACACGTCGGCGCGGGTTCGAGATGATGAACGACCCTCGAGTACGGGCTCGAGATTTGCAGCACTGTGTGCGTTCTGAACGCCCGGGAATGATGCTTCGCTACGCGGTGCGCTGTTGGCATCTCTCTGAATGTTCAAAGAAGAGGAAGAAGCTAAAGTCGTATCCAGTGCTCGTTGAGATGAGCCCCTGTGAGCTAAAGCCTCCACTTTGGCGCCCATTTGCGAATCTAGGGAACCGGAGAAAGGGGGATTATTGCCTCCCGCCGCGGCGCTCAGATGAGCGATGGTGCTTCGGTAGAACATTTCGAGCGCAAACGAGTCTGCGCAGAATGCTTCAAACTCTCTTCTCACAGAGTCGGCATCGGGCGTGTTTGCAGTGCCCGCTGCAGCGTTTTCGCGGTTCGATCCGATCCTACCTGGTCCATCCCTTTCTTGCCGACCTCTGCTCTGATTGCTGCTAGCAGCCGCGTGTGAGTTGAAGAGCCTATTGTTGAGCCACAAGAAGCCCTCTGCTCCCCCGAGCACCTGGACGAAAGCTACGCCGGACCTATGCACAAATTGGCTGTAGGTGAAATGCTTAGGTCTCGAATCGTAGACGAAATCCACATCGTCGGGAAATCTATCGCTGGCTTCTTGATCCAGAATAAAGCCGAAGCGTCGCAGAAGCGCCCATTGGAAGTAGTGTTCCGCGTGCGAGAAGGGAGGTAACATGAAAGAGTAGAGGGACGAGTGAGGAGGCTGCAAAGCCAGGAAGATCTGAGCTGGAGCTTGGAATGGATTGCGCGAGGAGACGTCGGCAATTTGTCCGATCGGTGCTTCGATCAGCTTCAGGCCATACCGTTCCACCGTCCTTGTCCAGGTCTGAACAGTATCTTCGATGAATCTAGCAGTAGTACCCAACCAGTGAATTTGGCAATTAAAACCGTTCGCTGGGTTGTGGGCAATGTCGTGATGCAAGAAGGCCACTTCTGCCCGATCACTCTTGCGTTGAGGGTCCAAGTCAATGATGTGCGTGCGACTCAATTTGACCAGCTTGCGGCCTAGGCTGACAGGTCGACCAATGGAAGCCGTTGAGCTAGATTCACGGTGATGGCGACCCCTTTCAGAGGTAAGGGTTCTGAGGTTGCTGAAGTGGCCTGATGATCCTCGACTGTCCCTTGCGGACAGGCCTTGGCTTTCATCCGAACCCTCTCGCGATGAGCCAGCGAACCATTTGCTGCCCTTGCTTGCAGTGTACTCTGGTCGCAAGCGATACTGAGCAACGGGGTTGCGTTGGTCGATCACTATCAGTTGCGAGGTTTTGACTTCAGACGCACTTCGACCGACTGTACTCACAAAGTAATGACCGTCCAAGAATCCATGCGCTCTGTTGACATGCTCGAATAGACCTTCTCTCAACAGTCTGCTCCCGGCATTGCTCGCCTCTTCTCTCGTTTTCACATCCTGGAAATTACGACAGAGCCACGTCACAAAGTCTGCACCAGTGAAGGAGTCTTTGTACAGGATGGCCTGCCAGTACCTATCATGTATCAATTTCTTCTCCGTCTCGTGCCTCATCTCTGTCGCTAAACTTCTCAGGTCCATATTGCCCAAGATCTTCTTTCTGGATCTGGATGTGCTGCTATTTGCGGAGCTGTTCCTCTGTTTCTTGGCTTCGTTCTCTTGCAAATTCTGATCATCTTCAGCTACAGCAGCCAGCATTTGTCTCATGAACTGCTCATCATTGAGGCTTGCCGAGGGATCCAGACTGGTAGGAATGAACCTCAACCTCGAATAGTTCCTCTCTTCCCTTCCTGAAGCTCTGTTGATCGTCCTCAACTTTGCACGAGCAAATAGGTCAGCTAGTCGATCGATGCCCATCAATCTAACTTCCTCATCGTCCAATTGCTCTCCTGAAGCTGCCCTCATTGTAGGAGCCGGGCCTTCAGTCGGAACGACGACGAATCTGGCTCTCCAGTACCTCAGACCATCGATGAACTTTTCCTCCTCTGCATGACCCGCGATGATCTGATCCAAGTAGGTCCAGTTGTAAGCTCCAAAGTCGGGATAGTGAAAAGTAGTCTTGACCGTCTGATAACATGGCACATCGCGTGGCCAAATACAACATGCGTAATCCATAGGTGAAGCATCGTGCTCAATCTTTCTGACATAGCGTTTGACGTGGATGGCGCTCATCGATCTGTCGTAAGATAACCTATGTATCTGATTGGGCATGCCTAGGTAGATCGGATTTCCCGCGACTAGATTGCCAGGTTGAAACAGTTCCGATGGTTGTCTGAGCGAAGCCGAAGCGGAACGGCCGCCAGACGCATTGATACTTCGTCCTGCGCTGCTGCCATGTCCCTCTGCATTGACAGGTACTATAAACTGGAATCCCTGAGCTAGTCTCTGAGAAGACATTTCCTTTAGGACCGCCAGCGCCGGATAGGTCGACGGGTTATGCTTGACCATGAAGCTCGAGGTGTCTGCCGCCACGGACATCGTATAAGGATACTCAAGCCATTGATTAGCAAGATCTACCTCGCTGGGCAAATAGAGCGTAGTCAGGGGCAAGCATGCAGGACTCGTCATGCTACGCCATTTGACCGCATGTCTGTTGAGTCTTCGCGGGAAGAGATGCTGCCACCGCATCAATTGCGTCGAGGATTTGTTCGCAGCTAAGCTCTTTTGTGGGTTCGAAGGATTGACCAGTGTCTGCTTCTCCACTTGCGCTTGCTGGGCGTAATTTGTTCGCGCTACCTCTTGCTCCAAAGCTTGCTCATACATCTCTCGCTCTCGCCGCGAGTCAGCCCCGGTCGATGTTGTACGAGTCAGTGGAGGGCCCAAAGTGGTGTTGTGTCCGTCGCGCGTCGCACCGTGCTGTCCAGAAGGGATAGCAATCGGGCTTTGCGCGTGTTCCTCGCCCAAAGAACTGTCCCCTTCCAGCACGTCTTTGTCAGCATCCGCGTCGGTCTTTGAGGGATTTCTGTCCTGGTCCGAGCCTTTGACGGCCGAGCTAGCTAGCAAAGCCGCGATTCGTCGTGAAGCGCTTGCAGAAGTCTCCACGTCCTTCTGCTCCGTCGACAACAAAGAGCCTGGTCTTGAAGCGCTTCTCACGCTTCCTGCGAATGCAGGGTCGCGTTGCTCCGTCTGAGCACCTCTAAGTGAAGACCACAGCCAATGAGTGGGCAGACGATACCTCGACTTGCTTCTAGTCGCTTGCTGCTGGGAAAGCACTGCGGACGCGCTTCTGGAGGGAGGCAAAGTCTGCGCGGCTGTGACTGGTCCCATGTCTTCAAGGTGCATCTGATCCGGATCTGAGGGAGCGACCCAAGCGGGTGCTTTGCCGACAGGTTCTAGGGGCCTTATTGCTCGGTTAAAAGTAGCCACACTCCTAAGAGAAGTCGGCCTGGACGTCGTTCTACTCATGTAGGTCGACCTTGCCGGACTCTCCGTACTAGCGTTCATTGAGTTGGAGTTTCTCGCGCTTGCAGTCGAGCCGGGAGATTCCGAGTCGAGCCCTTCGATACGACTCGGTGGACCTCTTTCGTGAGCCGAATCGTCAGGGTGTTCGTCATGCGCCTCTAGCAGTGTTGCTCCTCTACGCGCGTCCCTGCCCACGCGAGCCACGCGTCCCGCAGGCCCTTGATTGGCCGGCGACGCAGATGTGGGATTACCCACGCCCAACATCTCTCCACTCCTCTGTCGCGTAAGACTTTTTGTAGGACTGGAACCCATCGGCGCCAAACCCGATGGTGCTCTTGACGTGAAGGCGAGCACCATGGAAGATCTGACCTTGCTCGGTGCAATGTCCAAATCCCTCATGGTTTCCGCATCAAAACGTTCTCGAAGGATCCGCTTGACCTCGCGTGAAGGTAGGTGGGCCAAATCGGCACTCACTGCTCCTTCGCTGTGTTGCGCACCGCTGCTGGAAGCACCTTGCGTAGGCAGTAACGATCCAGTGGTCCCCACTCTCTCAGCGCTCGATACCGCTCCGCTACTGTTGACACTCCTCGTGGGACCACTCATGCTCGATCTTCTTGCATTGCCCATCCCTACAGGCGGGCCCAGCTGCTGAAGTCCATTTCCGCCCAATTGCAAGTACGGCAAGCAAATATCACTAATTTCATTCTCCATGATCCCCATCATTTGAACCTCGTGCATTTTGCACCTGGGCACGAATCTGTCTGCTCGAAAAGGCTTGTCCTGCTGCAAATTGTAGAAGCTGCAGTCCACCCAGTGAGGGATGCTGTAGAAGTCCATGCTCGCCTGGCTTGTTGAAGCGGCGCCTTGCTGTCCAACGCCAGTGGAGAAGCTGTGCGTGTGAATGCTTGCATGTCGCTGATCAAAGTAGAGCGGGTCTGGCGGTCCACTGGAAGGAGCCAGCGAAGGCGTCTTGCGAGCCCTTCTACCGCGTGCAGGAACCGAGTTGGGCCAGGATGTTTGAGACTGATCAGGAATAGCGCTCTCGAAGTGGAATAAAGGCACGGAATGAAGCGGCATCTTGGTCAAGCAAACCAGGTCCAGTCCCGTGCCACTATCGATCATCCTCTCGGTCGTCAATCTCAACAACCTCTTGCTCACTTTGAAGTGGCCCGTACCAGCCGTCAGAACGACAATGTCGAAGCCTGTCCTCATCAGATCCCGATCGACGAAATGAGCGTCGGCAGGATTGAGTGCCAGATTGACGGCTTCCAGGATGTTTCCTTCGTGAGATGCGCTGAGTCTGCCTGCTAGCAGCGCCCGATCTCGACGTAGGAGATCGGCCTGAGGATCCTCCGCTCCGGGTGCTCCAGCAGGCCCAGCAACAGGTCTAATAAGCAACAGTATGTCATGTTGAAACCTGAAAAACTCCTCCTTCAGATCCGTCAGCACTTTGTTCCATTCACAATTGCCTTCCAAGTCCACGATAGTCTTGTAGTAGTCAATGTACCATCGTCCATTTGTTCCCTCTTCCTTTTGCAGTGGTAGGTCGGCATCTTGTAGCATATGCACTTCAGAGGCGTCGTAGTGAACGCGGGCGAAAAGCACGACGGAGACGACGTGATTCGTGGGCACCACCTTCCACTTTCGCACCAATTCTGGTATGAAGCCCGAGATCGCCTTTTCGTAGTAGAGCTCTCCATCCTCGTCGAATTCCCACATTTCTCTTGCTAGCTGGATGAGCAGATTATACTTTGCCGATTCGGATCTGTAGATCGTCCGGGTGTGGGGTGCGACGTAGCCCGATGTGACCTGCATACACGCACCGAGCGGGCGGTGCGCTCGCATCAGCACTTCAAGCACATCCAGGCGTGATGCTCATGCTCAGCCGCTTCATCGCACCACCGGCTCACCTTCTTCTCTTTGATGAATATTCTGCCCACCGTAGCGCGCACGCAGCCCGCCAACGTGATCTTCTGACCCACATACACGCACGCATCTTCAAGCTGGTTTGCCAATCTCCACATATCCGCTCTGCCCACATACTGATCCTTAAAGTAGAGCTCCAAGTGGGAGATGGTATGAGGATCTCTTAAGACCTTTGACAAGAGGACGTCGGAGCGGTTGTGGAGGCCGTACAGTTGAGCGATTGGCTTGGATAAGCTCAGCTGCAGGGTGTTGCTGCGGACTTCAGAATCTGGCAAAGCGTCGATGGGCTTGAAGACGAATCGCTTGCCCCTAATGGTTTTGTCTGCCCCTCTAGATCCCAAAGATCGCACCTCCAACAGCTCTCCTTCGCTCAGACCCGACCCTCCGCTCCCAAAGCGGGCGATGACGTCCGGGTGAATGACTACATCATTTGAAGAGAAGTTGGGTGGCTCGTGAACCCACAAAGTGACCGGCATTGACGCCAGACGTGGCCGCGATTGCTGGTGAGAAGACGATCGCCGACGTCCTGGCGAATCTGTGGCAGACGAGCGATCGAGGCTGACCGCTCCAGATCGAGTGGGCGATGTCATCGTGGGCCAGGTAGCACTGAACCAGTACGAGGCGTGAGTACTGTTACGAAGATGTGATGTGGTGTCTTGATCCGAGTATCGCCCCGCTTGCCAGCGTTGTACCGCTGGCCATGAAGCGTGGAGTGGAGGAGCAAGAAGTCGAAGGGTTGCAGGCCGTTTTGTGTAGCTAGCTGCCTGACCCGAGGCGTCTCGTTGAGAAGGAGTCAAGATGATCGCTCATGTTCAGAGCGAGGCAAGTCGCGTTGAGTAGCAAAGCATTGAAGTTGCGTAAGCGCAATCAAGGCCTTGTGAAGGGGGGCGGGCAGAGGGTGCCGGAGGTGGTGAGGAGCTAAAGTGTCTAAGTCGACTCCGACTCGCGAATTTGCGTGCACGCAGCACCCGCGTTTGGCATGATCAGACACGCCCCGCGAAGAGTTTTCTCCGCGGAGATCCGGCCGCGAGCGCTTGATGGCTGAGAATGGTGCGTCGCGGTGAGTGAATTGACATGACGATTCACGATTGCTGATGCTGTCTCTGCCCTGCCAGGCACACAGGTTCCTTTGCACAACCATCTGAACGTTGATCATCTCATCTCACTGCCAAACTTTAGGCAAATTCTGGCCACAGTCGACTCGAATCGGAGCGGCTGGCTCAGAGAAGCGTCCTGCAATCGTCAATCCACTGGTAAACACGCGCGCGCGCCTCAAGTTCATGATCTCAGTCCTCAACAATGTCCTCCTCCTCCTCCAGCTTGTCCGCATCGGACATCCAACCTCAAGCCCTCTCCTCTCTCTTCACTTCTCTCAATCAGGCGTGGATACGAGCGACATCGAGCGGAACGGTAGTGCGACCCTCGAGCACATTGGTGCTGTTGCCCGACGGAAGGCGAGCGCCATCAGAAGCAGGGGACGGGGCTGGCGAAGTCGGGAAGCTCGGCGTGAACTGGAGAATACGTTGCGTACCTTCGCTCGGGCAGAAGGCGCGAGCAAAAGCTCAAGCCCAGGCTCAGGCGCAGGCGGAAGGTGCAAGCAGCGCCGCCTCCACGACGGTAGAAAGTGACGTCTTTGCGCCACCTTATGATGCAAATCTCTTTGTCTGGTCCGACGAATCCCACGTCGTCCTGCTCAACAAGTACGCTCTGGTCGCCAGACACTTCTTGCTGGTGCCAAAGCAATTCGCTTCGCAAAACTTGCCGCCGACGCCTGGCATGCTGGCTTTGAGCTACCAAATCTTGCGTCAAGATGCGCAGTCACACACGATGCTCTCCTCCCATTTCCCTTCCACTTCCACTTCCACTTGCACACTGACTCCCGAGGAGAGTGAGCGAGAAGAGGATGGTGAATTGTTCGCATTTTATAATTGTGGACATTTGAGCGGAGCTAGCCAAAGGAGAAGTCATGTGCAATTCTTGCGCAGCGGACTCGAGGGCCAAGAGGAGCTTGGAGAGCGGGGAGAAGGCAGAGTTCCCATCGAGAGGCTGCTGAGTCTCTGTGTGGAGGAGCATCAAGGCAAGGATGGTGAGCTTGTGTGTGCAGGCGCAAGCATCGTCAATCCCACTGATCCTTGACATCTTTACTCGATATAGACACGGTATTTGCTCTTCCACTGCCTTATCAGCACTTTGTAGCTCTTCTAACTCCTCCTTCATCCTCTCAAAGCGGCGCGCTCCAATCGTACCTGATGCGAAAACTCTTTGGTCTGCTAGAAGCCATGCAGCAAGCCCGCTTTGCAACTCTCGATCAACAAATCTCTTCCTCCAACGCTACCTTTTCTCCTTCGCAATCAGGAGCGACCCAAAATGGACCACCGAGCTACAACCTCTTGATGACGACTAGAGCTATGCACCTCATTCCTCGCAGCAAGGAAGTTTTCGAGCTCAAAGTGGAAGAAGATGGGAAAGAGCATCAGGCGGAATTGAGCATCAATTCCATGGGTGAGTTCTGGTCGGCGCTGGGCTCGATGTGCGGCGAGTAGGTTGGTACAGTGCTGCTTGGACGACTAGCTGGGCGCTGGGCGCTCGCGTGCAGATTTCGTGCTGCTTCCCATCTCGCGGCATCTCAAGCCTGCCAGCATCGTGAACGATGCAAGCTTCAGAGACCGAACAACGAGCCTTTGCTAATGAATACCTCGCCTTCCCCCTCCCCGTCGCTCTTACCGTATGGGTCTCCAAAGCATACGCGGGCCATCTGCTCGCGAAAAATCGAGCGGAGCTCTTGGCGCTGCAAAGCTTGCCCGGAGGTGCTTTGCAAGTCCTGAGCAGCACAGGCATCGCCGGCGTCAAGGACGTCACGACGGCGCTTGCTGAAGAGGGCACGCTCGCCACAAAGGAAATAAACGATGGCAGGGACTTGGCGCGCGGGGGTGGAAACGTTTGAGGGGCTTGGTTGCAGACACCAGCTGAAGTGGCTTCTCGTGCGTCGTTTGAACTGCCCTTCTCTGGAAATGCGATGCTCTGGGCAGCCTCTTGTGCGTGCAGCCTGCAAGGCATCGGCCCCATCAAAACATTCGAAAGGTCTGATTGCGTCTGTTGAGGTCTTACTATTACAGTGAAAGCCAAAGCAGTCTAGGCCGGTGCAGACAGCGTACTCATTTTTACCTCCTGACCAATCTCCCCACCATATCCTTCTCTCTGCTTCTCCGATTCATCAGGTCGCTCTCGCTCGGTCCTCTGCCCGCATGCCACTTGGTCAATCTTTCCAGCACACCGGCCAACTTGACCGCTTGAACCGCTGGATACTTTGAGCTTCTTGATCGAGCGTCGCCCACATAGTCTGACACCGCATCGTTCAGAGGTATGGAGAGCGTCTGCGCGCAAGGCAAAGTCGATGTTCAGCATCCATCTCGAAGAAAGAGCCAGGATGGGGAGGTTGAAAGATGGCCAAGAAGCGAAAACACGTCGCCACATCCTCGTAACTCACTTGTCGAATCTCATCAAACACTTTGTCAATGCTCTTGTCTATTCTGGACGCCTCTTTCCGCAAAGCTTCCACATCCGCCAACACGTTTTGAAGAGCGAAAGTATTCAGCGCTGGCGTGTCCTTGTCCAGAACGTACTCGTTCTGAAAGCGGCAGTGAACGAGAAGGGATTAGTGTGGGAGCATCTCAGATGAGGTATCGGGCCGAGCGGCGACTCACGAGCAAGACGGAGGCAATGGAAGCGTATGCGGATTGGTCTGCACAGCGCAAGCTCGGCATAAGGAACGGGGTCAAGCAGCAATGAATGGCCATCGACCCACTCACAATGCAGCAGCTTGGTCTCTGTGGGCAGCAGCACCAAGACGCTTTCCATCATCGTTCCTATCCATCTGCTCATTTCTCCGATCCATTCCCTCTCCGTCGTGTCCTCTTTTGCAGGCGTAGGCTCAAATTCGCTCATCCCAATGAACTCTGTCAACTTGGCAGCTAGGGCCGCGTCGATTCTCTTTTGAGCCAAATCCAAGGAATGGCTGAAATGGCTCGACGCATCCAATCTGAGTCTGCCCCCTCGATGAGGTGCGCGCAAAGCTGCCAACAGGCCCTCGAGGGATGTGCAGGCTAGTTTGAAGTGCTCCGCATTCACCACGATCTGGGCTATCTGAGAAAGGTTTGACGTAGACTCGACCGATGCTCGAATGCTGCTGCTGACCTGTTGAATGAGCAACTCGTCCAGCGACTGATGGGTAATATGAGAGAGCTGCGCGTAAGCTCTGAGCTAGGTATGATTTGTGGCTTGGCTCACCTTCTTGAGGATGTCGTCAATATCTCGGTGATACTGCGAAAAGCCGTCGGAGAAGGTGTAATACTCGTCGACCAAATGCCGGATGTCCATGCAGCAAAGCGGATAAGTTTGAGAGAATGGTAGCGCCAGGGGGAAAGCTCGTCTGCGAGATAAAAGGCAGGCGTGGCGCGTCAGCACTGTTCTCGCCATGCCTTGATCTGGCATCCGCAGTCTCGACTCACTGCCGCAATTTATCGGCTTCTCCGGCTCTCAGCCAACAGACATTCAGGACCTTGTTGAGCTCGTCGGCATCTTCCACAACCATTGGCTGGTGCTCGGCGTCTTTGACGGCCTGTCATGGCCGGACGAAATGGAGTACCCGCCTTGAGCTTTGCGATCAACGGATCCCGACGCATTCACTCACCTGCTGGAAATCGGCCGAAAAACGATCTCTGAGCAGTTGCGCGTACCGCTCAAAGAGCGTCAGCAGCAGAGCGTTGAGCTTGGTGACGGTGAAAGAGCAGCCCTGGAATTGGGGTAGCAGTACGCGGGGCGATGAGCCAGGCAGCTCTTGTTCAGGCAGCGTTCCGCTCATCCCGACTATCGTGTCTGAAAGACCCGCCGCTTCACTCACTTCCAGCGTCATGATGAAGGTTTGGATGACCGCTTTGGTGTTGACAAACACCTGAGTATCTCTACAGTCCCGAAGCCCCACACTGACGATGTCCACTACCCTCTCGCACATGTTATCCCAAAGGTCGTCCACTTCCGCTTCGGATCTAAAACCTGGCGAACTAGTCTGGAGGACATGATGCTCTACGAGAAAGTAACCGACTACTTCCTGTAAGACTAGCGGGAAAGTCGGATTGACGGGATCGAATGTAAGACCTTGCGATAGGAGAAGGCTCGCTTGCAGCTGCATGCAGGCGAGCTTATGGCGTGAGCAGCTCCTAAACTTTACTGTGCGCCCGCATACAGCTCACCCTGCGATCTTCCTGATAGCTCATCTGCAGCTGCTCGCGCATGTCCATGGAGTCGTAGATCAAGATGCATTGATACAATGGTTTGAAGTCGATTCGAACCTCTTCGTTGTCCACAAAGTTGTCTTGAAGATCGCGGGGAGTTGCATGCACCATGAACTCCTGGTCAGACATCCACATCGGCCTCTGTTACTGAGAGCACCACTCACATTCGACGCGCTCGTTGACAACCAGCTCGATTGGACTATTGACTTTGGCAATGCTAAGCATTGGATCCTTCGAGCTCTTGATCCTCCACCTCTTTTGCCTCGCCTCCATAGCATCCAAAGCTAGCTTTCCCACTTTCCCACCTTTGAGCCTGACTTCGTAGAGCCACTCCTTCATCTCTGAAGTGACTGCTGATCTCACCGCATCCCTCATCGCGGGTATTGAATCGAGCATGTGCCGCGCGAATTCGTGATGCAAGACGGGCTTGAGATGCACCGTCTGCAACTCTTCCAGAGACTACAGGATGGCCATAAGTGAGCTTTTCCTGATGCATTGACTCGTTGTATGCGCACAGTGGGAAGCTTACTCACTCGAAGTGCCGCGTAGTATCTACGATTCTCGATCAGACCTTCTACTCGGCTCGTCATGTCGAGCACTCTCAGACAGAGCTGCAACGTCTCGATCGCTTCGTCGAGATTGGCACCTACCTGTCTCGTCTCACGTAGTGACTTTTTCTGGAGAGGTGAGGTTGGAATGGAGGAATTTGATAAGATTGAAGCGGACTGCGCTCCAGCCATCAAATGTATCCCCACCAGCCACGATTTCATAGCACCGCGACACGCACCTTTGCGCTCAAGCTCTCTCCGCCAGCTTTAACCTCTTCGTTCAGCTCGCCAATCCGATGTCTTAGACTGACGGTACCACTTCTGACTTTCAACAGTCTATCCGTAGCGCTGACGAAATCCTCGTGATTGCCTTTGCATATCCTTTCTATCTCATCTTCCTTCTCTTTCACAAATTCGTGCAACCTCCTCAAAAAGGCATCCGACTGACCTGCCTCGTCCAAAGATTTGATGATTGGACCTAGCTGCTCCAGATTCTCGGAATCAGCGTCCAAGTCCGTGAAGAGCGTGAGTGCTTGGAGCTGAGCGTCCAGCGAGACGTGAGGCCTTACGCGACCGCGCGGGGCTGATGGCATGGTTGCACGTTTGCAGTCTGCGTACCACCTTCTCGTGACTCTTGCCTCGTGATCATGGGATATCTCGGGCGTGTCTGCGAGTAATCTGCCAGCCTGGTGCGGCAAATTGCGAATATGGGGGAGCCGTCAGTGGTAGGGCGCTGGGACGAGTCGTGGGGGAGCATGCTAGCTTATATAGGTGCAATTTGCTTGCCCTCGCTGTCCTGACGAACCCTGCACAGCCCATTATCCCCACTATTTGTCACGTGTACCCTTATTGCCCTCCGCGTGTAGCTCGAGTCAGGAGTGCGCCACGCCTCACGCCCGTCGCCAGCCACGCTGCAATTATTCACGCGATTGGAGCTTAATATTGTGATTCCAAGCGCCGCGCACACAGCATCAACCGCCCCGCGGCGGCCTTCGAGCGTACGTGGGCGTTCAGCCCGGTCGGTGCGTGCGCATGCGCATGCGCTGCACGGAACTCGGTGTGAGCTGCAGCAACAGTAGGCATGAGCAGGCAGAAGACTCGACCACGACAGGTGATTTCTTATAAGCGCTGCTGTAGAATCAACAGATCGCTGAAGAGGAAGCGTCGGTGGGATCAGCGAACACGGCTAAGCCTTCACCCTTCAACATCGCATACATCCACTCGCGCTCCTTCATCTGACATCAACTCAATAGCTGTAGAGGCACTACCCAAATCGGCGTTCCGAGGCTAAAAGGATTGTTCACGCATCCAAGCTCTCATCACTGAACGTCCCGCGACTAGCAGAGCTGTCAGCCATGGCCGACGTCGGCCCATCCAAAGAAGTCAGTAGCGTAAGCAAGACGACTAAGCCTTTCAAGCATGCGTGCTCACCTTTCCTTGGACTCCCCCGACATTGCCCTTGCAATAGGATCTCGTCCTCATCTTCAAGCATCTCAAGTCGCTCCGCAAGGAGAACCGGGTACGCTTTTGCTATGGTCGCGGAGCAGCTGGAGAGCGACTCCAAAATTGAACAGATTCTTTTCCAATCTTGCAGGTATGCTTCGACTGCGGGGCCAAAAACCCGACATGGGCAAGCGCCACATTTGCGGTCTACATCTGCCTAGACTGTAGCAGCGTGCATCGCAACATGGGCGTGCACATCACCTTTGTTCGGTGAGCTTTCTCTCTCACGAAGCGCTCTGCCGAGTCACGCTCGCTGATCCACCACTTCATCCTTCTCACAGATCTACAAACTTGGACAGCTGGACATGGGCCCAGTTGCGCCTGATGAAAGTGGGAGGGAATGGCGCAGCAACGGACTTCTTTTCTAGGCACGGTGGATCTGGTCTTCTCACTCCAGGCACGGAAGGCAAAGTCAAGTATACATCCGGTGCAGCTAACGCATACAAGGCCGAATTGAAGCGTCGAGCAGAAGAGGATGCTAGAGGTGCACCCATCGGAAGCAGAGTGGTCTTTCCTGGCATGGCGGCTGAAGGACCTCTGGCTTCTACCACGACCACTGCCGCAGCCGGCGCAGCAGGCGATGAGGACTTTTTCGACGACTGGGATAAGCCCGCTGGAACCGCTGCGCCCAAGCCCGCTCAAGCTGTCAGACCCGCTGCTGGTGCGTTGCCAGCCATCGGAGCTGGCAGGCCCGCCCCTCAGTCAGCGCGAAATGCCGCGCCTGCTGCTGCTGCCGCCGCTCCTGCCGTTGCGGCACCCAAGCCTGCACCCTCTCCTCAACCCATCTCTTCGTCTTCTTTTCGATCTTCCACCCCCACGGGCAGTGTACGTGGTGGCGGCGGCAAATCAGCGCTAGGAGCCGTGCGTGCTAAGCCTGGTCTAGGAGCCACCAAGCTGGGTGCAGCTGGCGGCTCGAAGCTGGGAGGCGTGAAACGAGGAGGTCCAGCTGTAGACTTCGAAGCGTTAGAAAAGGCGGCCAAGGAGCAGGAGTCTAAGGATGCAGCTTTGGCGGCCGCAGCTGCAGCCGAAGAAGAGGCGGCCGCCAAGGTGGCAAAGGAGCAAGCGGAAGCTGAAGGGATTGCCAAAGCTGCTATTGCGGCTGCTGCTCAGGCCGAGAGGGATGCCAAAGCAAAGGCCAGTCAGGCTTCCAATGCTAGCAATGGCAAGCCCAACAGCCCGGTGAGACCAAGTGGAGAAATGGAAAGGCTTGGCATGGGCTTTGGACGAATGCAGATGGGCGCTCAGCGTGTAAAGGCGCAGAATGATGCTGAGAGGGCAGCAAAGCTTGCCAGCTACACCGGTGAGCTTAATCGGCGTGCCTCTCACATTGCGATCAGCGCTCTGACACAAAGACTACTCGGTGTTGTAGCGGACGACACGGACTATGCGCGTAACAAATTTGCGGGCCAAAAATGTAAGTAGACCAGGAGGACGCGTCTCATGTTGATCACTGAAATCTTGACGATTCTGTCGCTTCCCTTCTCCACACCTCAGCCATATCCTCGGACCAGTACTTTGAGCGCGGCAACTATGATGCCAATGCCTCTGCAGAAGCGCGTGAAAGGTTGCAAGGCTTCACTGGACAAACGAGCATCTCATCCAACCAATACTTGTGCGTTGCCTCACGCGCGGCCGTGCCGGTGGCCTGCCATTTCAGCTGACGCTCTCTCGCTTGTTCCACCATTGATTTCATCGCAATAGCGGTCGCGATGAAGATGACGAGCCTCCCCCGGCTGCCAATGGAGACTGGGCCGGTGACTTCGAACAGACTGCCAAAGAGTACTACGGCAAGTTCATGGCCAATCCGGACGTGCAGAGCGGGATCGAGAGCTTCAGGGCTGGTGCTATGAAGGTGCGTTCGAGTCTCCACATGTCACGTCTGATCGTGACCCGGCCAAGTGGCTGACACGGTGCTTCTTTCTCCCTCTCTCTTTCACGCAGCTGAGCCAGTACCTCGAGGAAATGTCCCGCAATGGAGGTTGAAGCGCTCGACGTGTAATTTTTATGCTCGTCATTCGGGTTGTGTCATCTCTGAAGATGTCTTCTCAGCCGAGCACTCCTTCCACCAACGTGCTTCCTAATTTCTTTTAGGGCCCTTTTAACGCTTCACGAATTGCCGAAAATGATATGCGTGTCTTTTTGAAGGCTGCCTAGAGGGTCTCAAAAGCAATTAGTCCAGTGTGATGTGCTATGAGGCTTTGCGAGGTCGATGCTGCGATCCCCCTTACGCCGAGAATGTGCGCTAGAAATCACGTGGGGCATACGGGGCAGCGATCGAGCAGCAGCGCACGACACGAAGCACACGGGGCGCGTTGCAGCAGGAGGGCGTCGAAGAGCGTGCGTGCATGCAGCAGGTCCGTTCACACACACACACACACACACACGCACGCAGCTCGATGTACATTTTCGTGACTCGAAGTCTAAGTCAGAGCGTCACTCGCACATCTGACCTCGATACGCACTCCACGTACTTGCGAGACACTCGCGTGCGACTCAGCAGTCCGACGGTCGTGAACTCCAATCGACGTTGACGAGTGAATTTAAGGCAGCCTCATCTTCCAAGGGAACACGTAGACGTACGAGTCAAGGCCAGACGATCACGGACCAGAGTAGGCTTACTGCGCGCATGGTTGCGAGGATCTCTCCCAGCTTTACCCCTCGGCTGTTCCCTTCTCCATCGCGACTGATACGTACTCTTGCAGTACACGCTTCGTCTTGTTCGACTCGATCTCTGCATCAGTTCAGCAGAGCGCATACAACCGCTTGCGCATCCAACATGACGACCGCAGCTGCGACCTCTGCGGGCGCTTACGCTTCCGGCTCCGCTGCGCGCAATGTTCAACCCCCTTGGACCCGACCTGATCCTCAAGGAAACGACGCAGCCCCAGAGCTGCATGTCTACAACTCGCTGACTCGGACCAAAGTGCCCTTTGTTCCCATGAAAGGAAAGACTGTTACGTGGTACAATTGTGGTCCTACTGTCTACGATGCCAGTCACATGGGACATGCCAGGTGAGAATTCTCCTTTGCAATTCAGATAGACTCGAGGTCGGAGTGACCAACCATACCGCACTGTGTGTTCAACAGAAATTACGTCTCGCAAGATATCATTCGTAGGCTGCTGAGGGATTACTTTGGTTACGATGTCATCTTGGTTCAGAACGTCACGGACATCGATGATAAGATTATAGTCCGAGCTCGACAAGTGCACCTTCTATCCGAACTCCAGAAGCAGCATGCCAGTGGCTTGACAAAGGAGCTGCTGGAAAAGGTCCAAGAAGCTTGGAGAGTGTTTTTCGAGAAGACTTTGAAGAGGTTTGCTCCTCCCCCGGCCCCTCAGGATAAAGAGCTGGGAGGTGCGGCTTTGACAGAGGCTATGTGGGAGGAGGTTTCAAGGCTGTACAAAGATGAGCAGTGGAAAAGGGAGAACACAGAAAAGGAGCCGAAGCTCAGCATGTGGTTTGCTGCTCTCGTGAGTCGGAGTCAAAACGAGGCAAGAAGTCGAGGCATTCTTCGTTCAGACTTGATGCCCCGCTTTTACAGGATTCATCGCGACAGGCTCAAGTAGCAGCAGTAATGTCGCTCGCTGCAACTCCGACCACCGAGGAGCTGTCCAAGCAGCTCATCGACGCCTCCGCAGACGTCCTTTCACCCTGGTTGGACGCAGCCAAGGGCGCTAGCGTTTCAGATCACAGCATCTTCCGGTCCTTGGCCGAGTACTGGGAAGGTCGATTCTACGAGGACATGACGCGCCTGCATGTCGAGAAACCCACTCTCGTGACCAGAGTGACCGAGTACGTACCTCAAATCGTCGACTTTGTCAAGCGAATCGTGGATAATGGGTACGCTTACGCGGACTGTAGTCCGGGAGAGGGAAAGAGCAACGTCTGGTTCGATACTAGGGCTTTCGATGGGGCTCCTTCTAAAGCGGCGAATGCTGCGCCAGAGGCAAAGAAACATCATTACGCTAAATTGGCACCCTGGAGCAAGGGCGATAAGGCCTTACTGGAAGAGGGCGAAGGTAAGCACGCAGAGCGCTTCACCTCGATTGTGGGGATCGGCTGACCCGTTCCATCGATAATATGACAATGACCGCATCATGCAGGCTCGCTGTCCACGGGCGCTTCGACAGTCTCTGGCAAGAGGACGCCGTCTGACTTTGCGCTTTGGAAGAGCTCCAAACCGGGCGAGCCAGCTTGGCCTTCTCCGTGGGGCTTGGGTAGACCGGGTTGGCACATTGAGTGCTCAGTGATGGCTACCGAAGTGCTCGGCACCCAAATCGACATTCACTCGGGCGGCGTTGATCTCATGTTCCCGCACCACGACAACGAGCTAGCGCAGAGCGAGGTAAGTCTCTCGTCTTCGTTACAACCCGCGCCAAGGCTCAGAGGTGCGAAGTTGACCTTGTTTCACCGCTGTTGCGCCCAGGCTCACAGCGGCTGCGGTCAATGGATCAACTACTTTTTGCACACGGGTCACTTGCACATCGAGGGCTTGAAAATGTCCAAATCTCTCAAAAATTTCATTTCCATTGACGAAGCTTTGGAAAAGTACACTCCCAGAAGGCTCAGGCTTGCTTTCTTGCTGCAACTTTGGAGCTCAAAAATGGACTTTAGGGAAAGTGCCATGGCAGAAGTGAAGAATGCGGAGACCACTTTCAACGTGAGCTACATTTCCCGTGACTACAAGGTGTCAAGACCATCTTCATTGACCTCGATCGCTCTGTCCTGCGCTACAGAACTTCTTTGCGACTGTCAGGTCTCATCTTCGTGAAGCCCGGTCCCGGGGTCTAGCGTACTCGGACGGTACAGCCCACTTCTCCCAAGCAGAAGCAGACCTTCTCACCTCGCTCGTTGCGGCGCAACAAAACTTTAGAAGAGCCATGTGCGACTCGTTTGACACTCCGAGCGGTATCAACATCTTGTTGGAGCTTGTTTCCAAGGCCAATGTGTACGAAAGAAGTGCAAAGCCGCATGATTTCAACGTCGAAATCTTGGAGAGCGTCGCGCGATGGGTCAGCGATGTGCTGCTCGTGTTTGGTCTGGGTGAAGGCCCGAGGAGAGAGGGACAAATCGGCTGGGGAGACTCTCCCGAACCGGGAGCTGCCAATGGGCTCGACTCGAGCGAGGACGTGAGTTGTCTGTGACGCATTCATTTTGGCTGCCAACAGTGCACATACTGACAGGCTTCCACTCCTGCTCTCGACAGCGCGAGGAGATACTCATGCCATATCTCAAAGCTCTGTCCAGCTTCAGAGACTCGATCCGGAAGCTTGCGCGAGAAGACGCTCCAAGCGCCGAGCTGCTCAAGTTGGCGGATCAGCTTCGTGATGTAGACATGGTAGATCTGGGCGTGGCGATGGAAGATACAGAGTCTGGTCAAGCTATGTTGAAACTCGTGCCTGCTGCGCAATTGCAAGCTGCCAGAGCGGAGAAGGAACAAGCGGCCAAGGATAAAGTGGCTCGAAAGGCAGAAGCTGCGGAAAAAGCAAAGGCTGCTAGGATCGAAAAGCTGCAAAAGGGAAGCGTAGCTCCGGAATTGCTCTTCAGACGATCTTCTGGTGCTCCTGTTGAAGAGTCGGAGTACGCGCAATTCGACGACAAGGGTATTCCTACTCATGACAAGGAAGGCAAGGAACTTGCCAAGAAGCGCAGAAAGAATTTGGAAAAGGAACACGAAAAGCAGATCAAGCTGCACGAAGAGTATCTTGCAGCAAAGCAAGCGGGCGAAATTTGAGCTTCGTGCGATGCTTCAAATTCTCCAAACAATGCATGTACTTTTCCCCTCCAGCCCTCGTCGCGCAGCTCAACGGCCCGGAGCGGGTCAATCTTTGACTTGGTATATTGCTCAGAATGAGGCCTGATGAGCTGTCGCTATTCAGGTCTCGTTTGCATCTGAATGGTGAGGTCGATCGGCAGCTGATGCGGGCAAGGTTTCGGGAATGCCTCTTTGCTTGTCGGGATTCAACAAGTCGGCCACCGTCCTCTGGAAGGTCATCCATTCATCTTCGCGTGGTTGGGCCAGCGTGCCAACATCTGCGATGTAGACCCTACCATCGATGCCTCCCATTGCTGCCTTTTTGCCTTCTTTCTTGTCCCATGCCAGCTTGTTCAGCGCGCGGCCGTTTCCGATGATGGTGCTCGATATGGGACGCTAGATTGCAAATGGGCAATAGAGCACCTTGGTGAGGAGCGACTCTCGGCATGCAACAAAAGACGCCATAAAGCTCACCTCGGTGTCCTCGTTCAAGTTGAACAGATCAAAACGGCCCACGCCGTCCACCTGACCAAAGACTGCGGGATGTGTAGGGTGCCACCTGACATCATAGACATATTCTGGTGCCTCTTCAAACGTCGTGACCGGTTCAACGACGCTCGTGTTGTAGGAAGATGCGCCAGAAATGCCAGCAGACGCAAAGGAAGCGGCAGCGGAGCCTAGCGAAGACACGCCAGGTGCAGTGGGGGCTCCCCCAGCGGCAGCGGCCGATTGACCAGGTAATCTCCACAGTCTGCTAGTCCAATCCATGCTGGAGCTGAGGAACAAGTCTGAGAAATCCACTGGCCCGTAGAGCGGGTGGAAATGCAAGGATGACACAGGTGCTGCGTGACCTTTGAGAACGTAAGAAGCGTTCAACCCAGCTTTCCCGCTTGCTCGATCAAAGCGAGCGCAAGGGAAAATGTGACCCTCTTCGGTGCCCACCAGGAACTCGACCGTCTCTTGATCCGGGAAGCCGAAAGAGGTAACGGACACCTCGTCAGTCTTGGTGTGGTGAGGCGAAAGCAGCTCAAGCACCTCCGATGGCTTGGCCAGCACGTCCATCATCCAGCCGCACACTAATCCATCCGTGGACGCGGATACGAGATTGTGCGCGTTTTGGGTTCCCACAATTTGCAAAGAGTAGACTGGGTGCGTATGACCAGCAGCAGAGAGCGGCGTCTTGAGGACTGGCAATGTGCCGCTTCGAGTATCCCAGATCAAGATCTGTCCACTGTAAGTTCCGCCCACGACCAAGTTTGGGTTGAAGGGCGAGAATTTGGTCGAAAGCACGTCCGTCTGTCATGGGAGGTGTTGAAGCTCGTCAGGGTGACTCGACCTGCATGAGCCTAGCAGACCTTGCCTGCGCACCGACTTACCTGAGCGTGAAAGACGAACTCCGGCCTGTCTGCAAGATGCATATTCCACACAGCAACCACGCCATCCGGGTCTTCATTCGAGATTGCGTCAGATCGACTGTAGCTGGCAACGCTAAGTTCGGGATGCTGCAAACACGGGACGAGAAAGGTGTGAGTACGATTGACGTTCAGGTAACACAGGAAGGAAACCCAGTCCCATTGCGCATCACATGTCGGATTTCGCTTGTGGTCATCTGCGAGACCCAGACCACGACTTCCAGAGGAGCCCAGAGGGACATTCGCCAAAGGCACGTCCACCAGTGTCAAAGGTCGCGCACGACTCACTCTGGCCGACCAGTCCAGGTCAGTGACGCTCCTTCCGCGGCAGAGCTTGTCATCCCAAAAGGTCCGTACCACCTTCACTTGGCGCGCTTCCGCTTCGTCCCTGTCACAAGGCATCGAGGTAACGTTATCATCTGTGCGCTGCGCACAACGACGAGATCAAAAATGCGTTGCTCACCCAGCTCCGCTCTCGTCCTTTGTATAATCCTTCATAAAGTCGTAGGCGTCTGTGAGGGCCCTTTCGACAATCTTGGAGCTGGTCTGCACAAAGCTGGTGAAGTCCTGCGCTCCATAGATCGAATTGAGTTCCGCCGATGAAAGCTCTGCGCAAGGCACGAGATGGGGTCAACGGGTCTTGAGGAGGTCTATGTTAGCACGAGCTCTGAAAATCGCACGCTCACCTCTGAGACCCTCCTCGATCTCTCTTTCCAATCTCTCCTCTTCTAACTTCATTTCTTCCGCCTCTTTCGCTTCTTGAGCTTCTTCCAGTTCCTTTTTGATTTTCGCTCTCAGAGCTGCTTCCGCTGCTGCAGGTATGCGCGCTTCCCCCCCAGCGCCGCCAGCCCCTTCACCTACAAAGCCATTCTCGCCCATATCATCGTCCGTCGAAGTCGACGTGGTCTGTACTTCTTTGGTATAATACACTCTCTCCTTTTGAGGATATTCGAACAATTCTTGGGCGCCCGAGATGAGTTGAGGCGTCCTGGCATACAATCTGAGAGCATGCAGACCGAGGTGATGGGTGCTAAGCACGCAATGACTCTGAATAGCCAGCCATATTAGGCACTACTCACCCTTCTGCTCCGTCTTCTCTGCCCATCGCCTCACTCCCATATTCGCTCGAAGCCCCGGGACCAGTGGACAATCTGCCTCCTCTGCCCGGACTGTCGCTATTGACGGCTAATCCTGCACCAGTCGCACCATCAGACGAAGGTTCACCTCCCGCAGTGCTGTAAGATGGCATACGTCCTACAGCGCTGCTCGATCCTGATCTGCCTCCGCTGGCGCTCGCCGAAGTGCCTACAAGAGTTGCGACCAGATCGTCCAGATCTTTCCGGGCTGATGGAGTGCTCGCCTATAGCCGAGCAGCGTACACGTCAGAGACAAACAGCGTGAAGAGCAGGCCTGGCCGCATAGCACACTCTCACCTCTGAACCTTTCTCCCCTCGACCAGCAGCTATCCTTCTGTCCCTCTCTTCTCTGGCCCTCTTCAGCTCGGCCAACTTGGCCCTCTTGGACTCGATCTCTGCCCTGCGCCTCGATTCTGCCATCTTGTTTTCGCCGATCGGTTGGGTAAGATGCGATGCAGTTGTGAAAGATTTGTACAATTGAAGGCCTGTATGCCTTCAATGAGGACAATGGCGTGAAAGGCACCATCAACAGCCAAGATGCGGCCATAGCCTAGATGTATGAAGCGGTATAGCCACCCACCAAGGCACGACGCGTCTGTGCATGCTGGTCGAGGTCGCGCGCCGCTGATTGATGCTCTTGCTTTTTGCTGCTGGTGAACCGTGCGTGCAGGCGCGGTGGCGGGTAATGCTGTGTGAGCTCTTTCTCTCGGCCGAGAGAATGAGAGGATTTCAGCCCCTCGTGATCACGTACAGTATACGGAAAGATGGATGGATGGCCGCAAAACACCATTCACGACACACTCGTGGACTTGTGAATCCGATGGATGACGCCTTGCAGCTCAAGTCACGAGCTATAGCGGTACCCAGGACTGGGCCGAGTGTCGGTCCAGCACCGGCTCCCAAAGCGAGCACGACAGAGCTCCGGCTTACAGTGCGCGACAATCTTGTATACAAATTTCAAATCAGGGCCCACAATTCAAAACTTGAACTTGACTAGTGAGTGGGATCGCATAGAGACATTCAGATTCGTGATTGTGGGAAAGGATGAAAGCCAGACGTCCATGCAGAGAGGCTACAGTACTCGTGACTCACGCGCGTATGCCGTGCGGGCATCGCTTATCTCACGATGTAATTCCCAATTACAAAAAGATCCGCGCTTGAGTTCGCGGTTATCTTCCTCTTCTGAGCTTCTGCCGTTGCGTGTGCGCCGTGTCCTTGCCTTGTCCGCGTGCTCGAATGCCATGCAGTCGTGTGCAGCAGCAGCGTGACGCTATAGAGCTAGCTCGGTCGCTCGACATGGTGCCTGAAAATCGCGCTATCTCGACCCTCAAGCTCAAAGGCGGGCGGTGCAGCAGCAGCAGCAGCAGCCAAGCTTCACAGCCGTGGAGCGAGACATTTGCGCGCATTCGTGATTCACGCCTCCGGCACACGACTGATCCCAAGCTGCGCACTGCTGGTCGTGACTCGCAAACAGCAATCAGAATGTGCGTGCAGCAGCAGATGCACATCGAAAGGGCCGGCGCGGAACCCACATGTACACTACCAGTACATGCGCGCACCGATACGGTACCGATTCCCGTGCCGGGTACAGAATGCGAGATGGATGAACCGCGCCTTCGCTGCATGCGCTCTCGTCTTGCCGCTTCTCAATTGGCTCTTCTCTGGACACTCGCGCCTCAAACTGATCCCAAAGGCTTTCTTGCGCTCTTCCACACACCTGCGACGCTCCACGTTCAGAATAGCCGCATTCCACGCTTGCAAGTTCCCTTTGCGTGCTGCCAGACTCACATTGGAACATCCGAACATTGCCACGATAGGTGACCTGTCTGGTACGGCACTGTATGCTCCGCGGACTTGTACCACAGGCAACAAGGGCTTGAGGAGAGTAGCTGTTAGGAGTCGTTCAAAAGCAGCACCATGCCCGTGTTTTGAAGCCATCGAACATCATCATCCTCTTCGTTAGTCTGTACTCGGACATGGCGATCATGTCCGACAACGCATCCTCCAGTTCGAGTCGCACTCTGCACTCAGCTGACAGGCTACCCAACGCTCGACCGTCCAGTACTTCCGACTCGCATACTCGAGCTCCTCAAGCACCCGCAAAAGCAACCTCCTTGCCGCGCAAAATGTCTAGCGCTCGTCCAAGCGGAAAGGGCGCGGATGTCAAGAATAAAGATGCACCCGGACGACCTACAGTGTTGCCCGCGAACGGCGATGCCGCTGCTGCAAACGATGACGCAGCAAGTAGCGCAATGGGCGGGACCGGAGGCGGTTCTAACGATGGCAAGGAAGACGGACCAAAAGGTCGCATGCTGAGCTGCACCGAATGTAAGTGGCAGCACCGACTGAGAATGATGGCATAGAGTTGGAGGCTACAAAAGCACGATCGATCGCGAAAGCCAACAGGCTCACCGAGGGACATCGCGCGCATGTATGCGCTCAACGCATGCTCTGGTCCGATGAACATCTCGGTAGCATCCCAACTCATCAGCTGACACTCAAGTCCGACTACTTTGTTCCATTAAGGCAAAAGGCGAAAGATCAAATGTGAGTAGCTGCTCTCTTACCCCCTTTGGGCGCTTGTGGGACCTCGCGCTGAGATCTGCCGTACGTGTTCACCCCGTCCAGGCGATCGAGAGTGTCCGTGTGGACCTTGCTTACTGCGCAACGAGGGCAGCAAGTGCAAGCAGGTCATACGCTGGGAAGCAGGCTGCTCTTTGACAGAGTTCCAACAGCTTCAAAATCGCGTGCGCGAGCTAGAGGGGAGAGTAAAGGGGCTTGAGGATGTCAACGGCCCAGCAAGGCCAGTACGCTGGCCGAACCCAGATACCAAGGGGCGTCAGGAAGAGTCGTCGCGTAGCCCGTCGAGGTCAGGTTCTGCCGGAGCAGACGCGCAACACATGTCATCTCGTAAGACGGATCAGCGATCCCCTCCGCGTGGTGTGGTGCCTCTGCACGAGCACTCTGGTCAAGCTCAAGCCCAGTCTCAAGCGCTCGGAAATTTTGCGCCAGGCTGGACAGCACCTGGCGCTGTACCTCTTGCTGCTCATAAAAGGGAACGCGACATGGGTGACGAAGATGCCGCTATGATGTTGGAAGAGTGAGTTCAGGCAGGCGGCGTTGGCCGAGTCCCCAATGCAGCAGAGTCTGATGGCTTTGCTTCTTCTTGTTCAGCTATGCCATGGGCAATCGCATCAATACGACGCATGCCGCTGCACGCTTGGCATCTGGAGACGGAGCAGCTCAAGGTCGAGGCAAACGCTCGAGACACGACTTGACGTCTCGATTTGAAGGTTCTTCGGATTTGCCTCATCTTGTGGGCGCTCAAGGTGCCCTTGCGCGCGATACTGCGGACAAGGCTGGTTTGCGCGAGATCAATGGCGGTGCGGGTGCAGACAATGATGCTCAGCATTCGCCGACGACGAGCTTCTCGCAAAGGTCAGCAGACTCTGCTCCGGCAGTGGCCTACCGAATCTTGTGCCTATCTCCTTCGCCAGAGATAGTACGGCGGATGGTCGCCTACTACTTTGACCATCTGGACTGGTACACACGAGTCCTGCATCGTTCGTCTGTCGAAGCCGTCTCGGAAAGTCTCCTTTCGCTGCCTCCCGAAGTAGCAGCGAGAAGGATCAGACCGGCAAGCCTCTGCATACACTTCTTGGTCCTTTGCTTGGCCCTGCACCTGTGCGGTCCGGAGGAGGTTGCGGAGTGGGGAATGGATAGACCGCAAGCTGCAGTGCTTTGCGATCAGTTCAATGCGGGAGCCTATCAGCTTTTGTGGGCAAGCGATTTCATTGGCAGTCACCAGGTCGAGCATCTTCAGGCTGTCATGTGCGTGTCACATGGTCCGACGCGACGCGCACCAAAGGACTGACACCCGCGTTGACCCTCGTCGCAGTCTCATGTCTGTTTACGCGTACAATCTGGACGACTCTGACGCTGCTTGGGCGCTCGTTGGTGCTAGGTGAGCTTTCGCTGAGGGTCTATTGTCTGAAGAAGCCGACCGCTGCTGCGGATGCTCACTGGGCTGACCTCACGCGTCTTTGCAGCATCAAAATTGCGCAAAATTTGCGTTTGAACAGGCTCGATGACCCACGCGTGGTCGCGACAAATCGGTCAGGAGCGGCTACAAGCAGCGCGGCAAAGGGTCTCTCCGTGCTCACAAATACATTGGATCGAGAGATAGGCAGGCGCGTGTGGTGGTATTTGACCTGGCTTGATGTAAGTGCAGTGCTCCCAAGTCACCGGCCCAGTCACCGCTTTTGCATAGTACTTAGCAGCGGAGACACACCATGCGCAGGTCTCACATGCTCTCTCGCATGGCGGCTGCTACTCGATCTTGCCGGCTCACAACGCCACCGCCGAGCCCATGAATGTCGATGACGATGCGCTCAACAATGAAGGGCACGCCGCGCCGAAATCTCTCAGCGAATACACGGTGAGCAGAGCTCTCAGAGATCATCTCTCGGCGTTTGTGTCTGAGATGAGACTCTTGTACGCATTGCTCTCTCTCTCTACCGCAGACTTCAAGCTTTTCAATATTCCGCCTGCGATTCCTGCTGCTGTATCGGGAGACGATCGACTTGACGCACCAGCGTGGCGGTCCTACATACGCCCAGGTGATGGAGATGGACAAGAAATTGCTTGGCTTGATGCAAAGCTTGCCAGAATATTTTGCTCTCAGAATAGAAGACAATGAGTCTGTCTGGAACGTTGGAGACACAAACGTATGTTGTCTTGTTTTCGCCGAGGGTTCTCGCCTTTAAGAAAGGTGTCTCTTACTCGCCACCGATTGCTATGTCGCAGCGCGATCTGGAGCTGCTCAGTATCAATTTGACCGCACATAATCGACTCTTGCGCCTTCATCGGCCGCATCTCATCAAAGGGCTGGCTGGAAAGGATCAGACCACGGTCTCTGCTCGACGATGCATTGATGCTTCCAAGGCAATCTTGCGCATCTTGAGACACGCCAAACGAGCTGCGCCAATGTTGCTCAAGGTGGGTCCCTCACTGAGCCCGGCAAGTCGGAAGTCTTACCTTTCGGTTGACAACTCTGTCTTTGCTATCCCAAGATGTGGATCAATGTGTATTATGGATTCGGAGCTGCTGTCGTCGTCTTTCTTGCCTTGTGTTACGAGACTGACCAGGACAGCGAGGAAGCGGAAGCTAAGCGGGCTGCAGTCAACGAAATGGCCGGTGAGCGAGGGATGCGAACAGTCTCCGTCTTGTGCCGACATTGTTCACCGTCTTACAAACGAACTCGGTGCTCACGCGCAGACATTTGCAGTACGGCCTCGCATCTGAGCGCAGGCGCAAAGAATACTGGAACTCTACTCAGAGGTGTGAGTGGTATATCCCGGCGTCAGATGCACAATTTGGCTGATTTTTAATCCTCGCGTCCTCTCAATGTAGCTTTTGGAAGCTGAAGTGGAGCTGCGTAGAGGACCAAAGACTCAGGGTGCCAACACTAAGCGCAAAAAGTCTGGTCTTGGGGATGAAGGAGGCCGCGGTCCCTTTTTCAACCTCGTCGCGCGAGTTCTAGGAGATGCTACGAGCCAACCGGCCACCTCACTCTCTGCACTGCAAAAAGATCTGCCAATGTCTTTCGACAGAGCTTCACCGCACCTGCGTCGATCCACTTCGACGAGCTTTGCGCGCGGTTCTGGTCCCAGCTTTGGTTTCCCAGCTGGTCTCAGCTCACCATTAGCGAGCAGCGGACCGACGCAGCAATTCCCAGTGTCCGTCTCACGTTCTGACGAGTCTCTTCGACAGCTCGCTGCTCCCTCTGGGAATGGAGTCGCTACCACGACTGGACATTCTGGCTTTGCTGCTCCGGGACCCCTCTCGCCATGGGGTGGCAGTACAACATCGAGCTCCAATGGAGTCAGCGGCGGCGAGCGGGGAAGGAGCGCGAGCGGAGCCGGAAGTTGGGTCAAAGGACCGGTGTCACACCCGGTCATTGGCAGCCCACACGGCAGCAACGGCAATGGCGGTGGCACGGGAAATTATCCAGCCGCTGGCGGTCTCTTGCACACGCGCAACATGCCCTCGCCTGGACTTAATCCTGGCGCCAGCGCGAGCGGCCTGACACCGCCTCTGAATCTTGCTGGCCAATCGCTGACCAATCTGCTAGACGAGGATATCTTTTCTACCGTCTTTTCCGAAGCTGCAGTGCCCGGAGAAGTGGCTCTCACGGATTGGGGTGCCAACGAGTGGGAAGCGGCTCTTGCACAGACTTACAACATGCCTCAATCCAACCCTCAGGCTGGGTTTGGTCCGGCTTCCAGCATTGGACCCGCTGCTAGCGCACCTGGCCATGGATACGGCCCTGGATATGGTCAGGGGAGCAATCCGTCAAGCACGCAGATGAACCTTCCATCTCTTCACATGCCCAATCATGGCCACTCTTTTGGCCACGGCTCGCCCTCGCCCGCCCCTTTGGCTCCTTCGCCGGGGCACCATGCCCGCGCGAACTCGAACTCGAGCGCGCATCCTTCACATTTCCACCATCACGCCTCCTTCTCGCCAGAAAACCGAAGATGATCGACTGCTCGCTCCTTTGAATGGACTTGCTGGCCGTTGCGGCGCATCAAGTCACCGCGCCGCACCTCTAACGTCTCTAGAGTATGTGCATCTTTGTCAACCTGTTGTATTTCTTGTCACGACTCGCGCAATTGAAGTAATCCTGAATCGGATCGCAGAAGGGCAGACATTACTCGAGCTTGATAGGTACCTGATTACGCGCGCCACGGGATAGTAAGCAACTGCGCTATCGGTGCTTGGACTTGAAGGGCTAACCCTTACTTTGCTCGTCAGGATTAGGGGGACCTTGCTGCGCCTTTGTCCTGCAAGCTGATGAGGTTCAGCAATGCCACCCACCTTTGTGCGGCACGATCCAGGGCACCCACAAGCGTCTGCGTCTTTACGAATCTCACGAGACGTGTTCAGATATTTGTCCTGGTCCCCACGCTATCGATGCCCAGACGGTCATCCCGCTCTTTGATGAGGCCTGTCGCTTCCTCGGCAGAGATGTGTTTGGCAAGACCGGGTTTGGGCATATATCGGACAAGTGACAGAGTCTGTTAGAGAAGGATTAGGGCAAGCACTTGACCTTGCTTTGCAAACCATCAACGTCGGCAAGCCTAGCGGTAGTGCAAAAACAGACGTATACCAAGTGTGTATAGTCTAATGTGGAGAATGATCACTTTTTTTTTTTGTGTGCGGCTTTGTGGTGCGGAGAATGCAAAGGCATAGGTCTCACTTTTGCTCACCTTTCTGGGCGTTTTGTGAAGAGCAGTCATCTGGGCTTGATCGTTAGGTGAAGCCACACAAATTTGGATTGCTCCGATGCGCGGCCAGCCGCCTCTGCCGTGGTTCGAGTTGTGCCTGAGTGGCCCGCTGGTCCTAGAGCAGCCAGCAGCAGCATTTCACTTTCAACCTCGTGCTTGTGCTCCTCATCCGCCCTCTCGAAGAGATGTTCACTGATGACATGTTCCCAATCCTAGCAGTCTCCGCATCCTTCTCGGGCAAAGCGTAGATGAGACATGGAGAGATCCTAGAAATCGCCACTGGGCGGCGCAGATTCGGACTTTGAAGAGTTGGCAGTAGGCGTTTGAGCTGGAAGCAATGCTGGTCACACTGCCATTTTCGCCATTCACCGCCCTAATCCCTCGCGAACAGGGATGGTAGCTCTCTACGACTTGCGTTCGATGGTGCGCTGCGACATGGTAGGTGTCAATGCCGATGTGCACCTTGGAAAGAGGTGCGAATGGATGAATGGTCGAGATGGTCCGCTCTGCACGGCTTGAGCGGGTCTGAGCGTCTCCGTTTTCATGTCAATGTCCTTCAGTGCTGCCGAATAGATGGTCGTGCTCGCAGCGAAACAGAGTCTTGGCCAGTCTGCGACGGAATTGCTTCTTCACACCAGGCTGAAAGAGAGAGACGTCTCGATTCGAAAGGAGCTGGTACACCCTGCATGTCATTTAGAAATACCTGCATCAACATGTAGAGGGGCGAACGCTGGGACAAAGCGCTCAGGTCTCACACAGGTGAATCTTGGACAGCTGTTCTTCCCAATGCAGAAAGATGCACCAGTCTACACAGCGGACAAGACTAAATCTCGTTCGAGCAGCAATGTCTGCGGCGCAAAGTCAACGAACAGCCATGAAGCTCCAAGTATCAGCTCTCGCCAAAGTTAGGAGCATCAGCACAAGTGCGCGACGTTCGTCCGGCTTAATCGGCACGCAAATGACAGGGCGGATCGCCCCCCATCACAGAAAGAGATCAAGAGCAGATCCGCCGCTTCATTTTGGGTTTCATCTTCCACTTTGAGAAAAAGTCAGATACCGCGAGCCTACGAAAGGCGGGCAGTTGACGTGGCACGAAGCTCTGCGTCTGACTCGTGGGACGGGGAAGAGAAAAGGGGGAGTCGTAGTGGGGATCGCGAGCGGAACGGCAGACTTCAGTGCCAAAGATTTTCTTGGAATATCGTACAATTGCATTTGGAGTCGATGAGAATCTTTGCTGATCTTTAATCACTTCTTGTTGTAATGTTTCTTGAAAATTGGATGCCTCTCCTTTGCCAAAGTCCGATTGGCAGACTTGTTGCGTTCCTGTGCGTTTGAAGTAGGGCAAAGGGTCAGCTGGCTCTTGTCATGACACGCAAGCGGCTGGAGGTAGTGCTCACCACGTAAGACATGGTGCCTGCACCGGACAGCGCGTCCAGCGTACCCGTCGAGCGCTTCGCTTTGAACGAGGCAGGAGCAGCGCCGATTCGCCTATTGCCACTGCTTGAAGCGCCACCGTAGCCTTCCTCCTCCCAGCCGCCAGCGCCAGCCATATCCTTGCCAACATCTGCCGCCGAATCGTTCGCTATGAGGACGCTTTGCAAGAGCTCAATCTGCTCTTCTCTGGTCTTGAGGATCAAGTCGTCCATCTCCTGCAGACCGGTCAATTTGGTGATGCACCTGTATGCATATCCTTGAGACACCAAGAATGCTTGCCTTCGGCTCGAATAGTACATCTCACTGGTGTCGGTGGACACTAGACTGTAGAAAAAAGCATTGAAGCCATCTTCGGATCTGCGCTTTGCTCTCAGAATACGACCCAGCCGTTGAGCTTCTTGACGACGCGAACCGAAATGGCTAGAGATTTGGATCAAGCATGTTGCTTCTGGCAAGTCGATGGACGTGTCGCCTACCTTGGACAAGAAGATGGTGTTGATGGTCGGGTTGTGTTGAAAATGTTGCAGCACGCGCATGCGCTCGGTTTGAGGGATGCCTCCGTGAATAAACAACTTGTTGAGCTTCTTGGCATAGGCCTGGACCAGACGATGGAACCATGTAATTTTGCATGAGCACGCGTTCGTTGGCTGCATTAGCATCTCACTTACCTCCAAGGCGTATACATTGTCCGAAAAGACGATGATCTTGTCGCCTCTATTTTCGTGGTAATTGATGAGGAATTGGCAAGCTTGGAATTTATTCGGATTCATGCAGTACAGCAGCATCCTCTTTCTGCTCTTTTCACGAAGGTACTCTCTATAGAACTCTGGTGTCATGGGGCACCACACCTCGGCGCATTGCACAGTCGCAATGTGACCCTTTGCAGCCAAGTCCATCCAATTAGCCTCGTAAAGCTTGGGCCCAACCAAGAAATTTAGCTCGTCGATTTTTTCGTCTTCTCGGACCAGCGTCGCTGTCAGACCGAGTTTGCTGTGCGCCTTGATCTTCGTCAGCACCCGTCTGAACATGGATGCTGGAACGACGTGCACTTCGTCGAGCAGGATGAAACCCCATTCGCGAGACTCCAAAAAATTCATCATCTTCTGGGAAGAGTGCGACCGCTTGCCCGTATTTGCCACCATGGAGTAGGTGGACACGACGATTCCCGCGGCGCTCGTAAACTGTGTGACGGAGCACGTCAGCATGGACACTTTCTGCCCGCACGACACCAACGCCTCACCTTTTCTTTTTGGTCCGCGGTGAACACGCTGATCTGGTGGTCTTGAATGTTGCTCCACTGCATAAATTCTCGCTTCCACTGCATCACACTGACGGAGCTCGTTGCAAGCACCAAACAGCTCTTCTTGATGGTGCAAGCGGCCGTGATGCCCACTAGAGTCTTTCCAGCACCGCAAGGCAGCACAATGATGCCACTTCTAGCTCTGCCGTTTCCAAACATCTTTGACAGACTTTTTTCTTGATAGGGTCTGATCTGAGTGACGGGCTTGAGGTCGATTTCCAGATCCGGATTGGAGTGGTCGTTGCGAAAGTCATACTCTTCCAGCATCGGGTAGCCAATGTCGTTGCATCGTCTTCGGACCTCCTCGGTCGCCTCTTCGCGCACTTCAAACGAGTGCACCATGTCCTCCTCGTCCTCGTTCCCGCCCGAGGCACCTAGTCCGTCCGCCTCGTCGTCCATGCCAATGATGCTGCTGAAGAGGTCAGCGTCATTGAGGGTGCCGCCAGCAGCGCCGACATCGCCGGACGCCGCAGCTGCATGGGCTGCGGCATTCGAAGCCGCAGTCTTGCTGCCTGGTGGCTCGCGAACAATGTCGCCGGATCCGTTCACGCCTTGCCCAGCCTGGCGTGCACCGCTTGTACCAGGAATGACGAGGTTGCCTCTGCTGGGTGCTGCTGCTCTTCCCAAGACCTCTAGCCGATTGTTGCCGTTCTGCTGCTGGCTCCGCTCAGCTTCAGTGATGCGCGCCTTGCCAATCACCTCATCCCGCAGCAGCATTCGAAGTACATCGGGATGTGCACTCTCGATAAAGTACTTGTTCTGCTTCAGCACGAGCTTGACTTTGCCAAAGCTTTTGGTGTTGTCTAGAACAAAGTCCACGATGGACTGAGGAATTGGAGACTTTGACAGACGGTTCAACACTTCCAGGATGTCCGTCGGCTGCAGCCCTACCGAGACGGCAGCAAACAGGCTGTACATGGTGAGCTGATACTCGTGAATATGTGCAGGCCTGCATGTGGCAAAGATGCGGCGTGGTGAAGCGTCTTCAGCGTGTTCGAGACGACTGTCGAGTCGCACGCATACACTCTACTCACCTGCTAACCGGCTCAGCGATTGCGACCAAGAAATCCATCGCTTGCTCGGCGATAGGACTGAAACCTTCGAGAATGATGTGCCGGTTGTGCGGATTGATCCAGAGTGGTCTACTGGCGTGGTCTTTCTTGAGTGGCAGCAGGCTGAAGTCGCCTCCATCCTCGTGACTGGGCGGCGTCAACGCTTCGTCGGGCTCATCGCCCGTGCTATCACCCGCATTGTCGTTTCGACCTCTCATCGATGCGTCATTGCTCCGACGACTTGCACCAGCACCTCGCTTCGTGTTTGTTTGACGACCGCGACCTACTGCAATGGTGAGACCACCATTGCCCTCCTCATCCGAGCCTTCACCATCGGATCTGAATTCAGGCTCAGCCAAGTCTGGGGCGTCGTCCGCATCGCCTCCACCGTGATTGCCGCGGACATCAGCTACAGCAGGTCTACCGGCTACCAATCTTGCCTCGCCACTCTCTTGCACACCATCCTCATCCTCATCCGATGCAGCGTCATGACTCATGCCGCCTGACCTGTTGAGACGCACCACCAGACGCTGCCTTTTGCTGGCCGGAGATGGATCACCATCTTCCTGCCGCTGTCTATTGCCTTGAGGTGGCATGCTGGCGAGCGAACGACGGCTGAGAGAGGTTCTGTTGACCAGCAAAGGCGGTGGTGGTAGGAAATTACGTTCAAGGTGAGCTGCTCAGCGCAGGATAGCAGCGTCGCGCGCAAGGCCAATAGATGATTTGCGATCGTCGGCGCGCGCGCGCGCTCGCGCGAGGACAAGCGTACGAGCGCCACAGGAAATGTTCTCGAATGCCTCGCTCAGCTTCAGTCACGAGTGGAGGCACTACGCTGCACGCGGCAGCGACCGGCATTCGATGCCAAAGTGAGCCGATCTTGAACAGCTCACTACTTTAGCTATAGCTAGCTAGTCTGCTCGATGGTCCACTCTTTCTAAACACCGAAACGCCGATAGCGATAGGATAGATACGCAGTTGCGCTTCAAGATGACGCTCATTGTTGTGAGTCTTTGCGATGGAGATGTGGTTGATTGCGCCTTGCTTACCGATACTTTGACCTATGACCACCGCAACTCCTTCTCAGCACCACCTCAACAACAGTCGTTCTCAGCGCGTGCTCTGGCTGCTGGAAGAGCTTGGCGTTGAGGTGAGCCGAAATCGGTGGATGCGTCAGTGTGAAAGCTAGGCTCACGGTGGCTGTTGCCCCAATCATCCACGCATACATCCAGTATGAGATCAAGCACTACAAGCGTGGACCGGACATGCTGGCTCCTAAGGAGCTCAAGCAAGCGCACCCTCTGGGCAAATCCCCTTTCATCACCGATACGGATCTGAGCGGAAAGGAGATTACACTTGCGGAGAGCGGTGCCATTGTCGGTGCGTTCGCAGCGCTCAAGGTCGGCGTCTCGCGGCTGATTCATTACGGTCCGGTCGCCAGATTTCATCATCGAAAAGTACGGCAAGGGCGCTGCTGTGCCTGTTTCTCACGAAGACAAGCTCGAGAACAACATGTGGTCGCACTTTGCGGAAGGTTGGTTGGTCGCGTTGGTGATGGGAGGTGTTCTGACCTTTTAGCTCACGACGAACCTTTTACGCTGATCAGGCTCACTCATGCCCACGATGGTGATGAAGTTGATCTTTAGCACCGTGCCCACTCAAGCACCGTTCCTCGTTCGACCCATCGTCTCGATTATTTGCGGTCAAGTGTGCGGCAGGCTGGTCGATCCCGACATCAAGTCCAAGCTGACATACGTATCGGAAGCGCTCGCCAAGCGTGGAGACCCTGCCACTTCGGACAAGGAGATTTGGTTTGCCGGAGGTGACAAGGATGGAAATCCCACGTCGGCAGATTATCAGCTCATGTTCCCACTGGAAGCTAGCATTGTGGGTGGAAGGGCTGCAAATGCTCCTGCAAATCTCAAGGCGTACGTTGAAAAGGCACAGAGAAGGCCAGCATATCAGGTGAGTGCAGCATGCAGCTACGTAGAGCCAAGGAAGCGCAGCTCATGCTTTCTGGCGCACAATGGTACAGAGAGCACTCGCAAAGGGCGGCGAGTACGCTTACGCTGCCAAGCTGTGAGCGAGACGGGCTTTGCAAATAGCACGCTAAACTACGTTGTGCGGCCCAGTCTCCCTGTTCTCCTTTTCTACCGCCTCTCGGCGAGTCTTGCGGCTTTGACGCCTCGGTCATGATCGCCCCTAGAAAATGTGGGTCAATCGCATGGATGGGCAGCGCGTCACGCAATGCGCCATTCACTCGCTTCACGCTTGTGTGGTGTCTCTTGTCCACCGTCGATGAGGGTGTCTATTCGAATCCATATGCATCGAAAACCGTTGGATGTGAATGTTCAAGAAGGTTCTTATTCTGATGCGCTCCCCGTCAAGTCAATCGTGAATGCATGTATGGCATTCGTGATTATCGACGCAGACAGCAGCCTCGCGTACAAACATCGCTTTCACCCGCGCGTGGCTTTGAGCGTGACTGCGCCACGCAGCAGCAGCAGCAGCGGTCGCGCTTTGAGGCAACTCCGCTCCACATGTGACGCGCGGGCGGGCGATGGTGCTCAGCTGGCTATATAGCGATGAATCTTCCATGCCTCCATCTCGTGTCCTTCTCGTCCTGTGGCAGCGTCCGACTTTCTTGCCACGCTTGAGCATTCGGCGCCACTAGTCACTCACGCTTGACATACCGCGACCTCTGCAACATTACACACCACCAACCCTGCGTCGCTTGTCGTCTTTGTGAAGCGCACACATCCCGCTTCTCCTGCGCAACTGCGAGCGAAACTGCAGTGCTGCGCTCGGTCAACCCGCACACCGGGCTGCTCGAAGTGCGAATCGATCCATCGTGTCTTCAACACCCTTGCTTGCGCCGCTGAAGGCAGTACCGCCCAGCTCTACGCACCTCCCCAGCGGTCCGGGTCGATCCACCGGCAAAGGAACATGTCAGGAGCTCTTGGCCCACCGCCTTCATCGGAAGGTCTGGACGCCTTGCGAGCGGCCAGCAGCAGCGGCAAGGACATTCAAGCTTCGTCATCCTCAATTCTACCTAGCGCTAGCCAGAATGCCGGTCCCTCGAGAGGTTTGCCTCAGTTGCCTAGGCGAGGCTCTGTTCCGAGTGCCTCAAGCGAAGCGCCCAAACACCGACCTTTGCCACTCGCAGCCTCTGCCCATGCCGTCTCTCCAGCACCGATATTATCTGCATCGCTGGCTGCAGCCAGTCCCAATCATCCAGCCAATCTGAGGAGGTATGCAAAGGCCGAGCTGGACAGCAAATTTACGCTCAAGAGCTACGTTGGAGCTGCGTACACGCTGTACGAAAAGGCGGAGAGTGATTATAGGCAAAACGAAATGGAACGAGCGTTTGTGAATTATTTGAAATGCGCAAAGTGAGTGGGCAGCGATGAGAGATGCGCTGCTGAGGCGAGACGTTCGAGGGAGCATGTCGCCACGCGGACGAGTCGTCTCTACTTTGTGCTGCAAAGCAGACGCCGAGGCATTGCGCAAAGACTCTTCCGGGGAGCAGAGGCTGCTGCTGATTCTCGCATCTTCCCCCCCCAGAGTGGCTTCGCAGATACCCAGACACGCGGAATGGCCTACGATCTCTCGTGTGCGACAGGATGGAACACGTGATTCGTTGTACAAGACTTATCAGGACTTTATGCAGGTAGGTGGTGTTTGCCCAAAAGTGGCGGAATGTTGGACATGCTGACCCAGCGTCGCACGTACAGAAAGTACCTGGCATCATAGAGAGGACGGAACGCATCGAGAAACAGCTGCAAGCGCGAGAAGATGCTTGCGAAGCAGCTCGCTCTGATCAGGCATCATCAACAACAGCGTCGCAGTCGCAGCCAGAGCAAGTGGCAAGCGATGTAGATGCAGGTCTGATCAAGAGTCAGGCCGCAGCTCCTCACGAAGACGTCGAGCTGGTGAATGGGGCTGGATCTGCACCCAGGGAGGTGAACTCGTTGGCGGACCGTCTCAGCGCTCTGAGATCCAATGGCATGGCTGCTGCTCGACAGGGCGACTCTGGAGTTGGTGCCTCGGGCCCGAGCTCGAATCGCGCATCAGCCGTACCCGCGCTTGGGAGCGAATATGGACACAGGCGAGATCCTACAGATGGCGACGTGGCTTCCCGCTTGCCCCGACCCGCCACACCAACGCATTCGCCGCGAGCTCCCGCGGATGATCAGTCAGGCCTTGCCAGCCCAGTGCTGCGGCCGAGCGAAAGCTGGAGCGCTCCCAGCATGGGCTCCTTGATGGGACGCATCGACACGAATTCTGGTCGGACAACACCGACTCAAAAGCAAGAGTCGCCGACGTCGGTACATTTGCCGACTGTGAGCGAGTTTACGAGCTCCTACCCTGCATTGGAAGACTTTGAAAGGGCTGGACTCAGCGAGCATGATCAGTCGCGCCACCAGAATGGCTCAGCCACGAGCGCACCGCCAAGACCGCTTCCGCCTCCGCCAGTCTCTCACCCCGCCGGTCCCTCGAGGCCGCCGTTGCCTCTGCCTGCAGCGACATCTGTCGCGGGAGAGTCCACCAGCATTGGACGCCCAGATGACGCCGAGCTTCCACCTCTTCCACGTTCGAATCTCATCACAGTGGAGGAGCTGTGGACGCTCTTGCATCCGGGCTTTGCAAGCGTCAGCGTGCCAGCGGCCGAGGCAGCTTCCGAAACCCCACCGCAAACGAGAATGGTGCGGAAGCCGGGCCGCACAGTGCTGTTGTTGGATGTACGCAGCCGGCAGCAGTGGACAGAGAAACGCATCGCGGTGCCCACGAGCGCAGGCACGTGCGTGCGCATCGATCCGATGTACATCAAGCAGGGCATGTCGTCTGAGGAGATGGGCAGCGTGCTGGCTGCGTCAGGAGCAGACTCTGCACAGCGCGAAGCTTTCGAGAAGAGGCACACTTTTGATTTGGTGGTGCTGTGCGACTCGTACAGTCGCGGGCTCGTGCCGCAATCGAATCTGCCCCCTGCGGTCGTGGCTGCGGCGGAGATTCTAAACGCGATCAACACGGCAATCTACGAGCGCGAATTTGCAAAACCGCTGCGTCACCACCCGGTGCTGTTGGTCGGTGGCGTGGAATCGTGGTCACGAAAGGTCGACGCTTCGTATGTCGCAGGAAGCAAAGGGGCTGATGCGGGATCCGTCGATGGTGCGCAGGCTGCGCACCCTCAACAGCGGCGCGATAGCCAGCCTCGAGACGACGATGCGAGACGACTGCGTCGGCAGGGCTTGATAGTTCCTGAAGGCATGGCGCCACCCGCGCTGGCGAGCTCGACGGATGGTTCCAAAGCCGACGCAGACCAACTGCCTTCTCGCCAAGCTCTTCCGAGCTACGCGCCTCCATCCATGCCTGTGCGGGCTTACCAGTCGGGGTACAGTTCTTCCAACGGGCCTCCATCCTATGCGCCTCCTATGGGCGCCCCAGCTTTCCCGCCCCCCGCATCTTCAGCGGTGTCCTCTGGTCGCTCATCGAGACAGAGCGACTACCACGCGAGTCAGCCGCACATTCCATATGGCGATCCAGCGAACCAACATGCGACTTCGCGAGTCAGCGCCAACTTTGAGTATCCGAGGTTGCGCAATGGGCATGCCGGGGCCGTGTCGCCGCACGACGAGCGATCGAGCGGACTCACACCGCCACCCGCGGCTGCTGCTAGCAACGGCATGTCCTCTTCTTCGCGCGCGGCGCTGGCCGCTCATGGGCACGGACACACGGGCTCGCTCTCCGTCTTGCCGACTTCGTTGCAGTCCGGTGCAGCTTCTCAGCACGCTGCGAGGGGCTCGATGGATCTGAGCCGCAGACCGCCTCTCGGTGCGTTGGGCTCCTCGCCCGCGTCGAAACCTTCTGCCTATGCTGCTGGCGCGCCGTCCTCGCCCTCTGCCACGCCGGCGTCTGCAAACGCTGCCAAGCTCAGCAACGACGTGCGCGTGGGCATGACGGGATTGAAGAATGTGGGCAACAGCTGCTACATGAATGCCACGTTGCAGTGCTTGAGTGCGACTGTGCCTCTGGCGAGGTTCTTGCTTGGTGAGTTGTGTGCGAGCGCGCGGAAGTCGCGATGGCGATCGCGCTCGCTGACTGGTCACCGCTCTAGACGGCTCGTACAAGCGCGCCATCAATCGCGTCAACCCTCTTGGCACGCAAGGAGCGCTAGCAGAAGCCTTTGCGCAGCTGATCAGGGTAATGTGGTCCGAGTCGTACACCTTTGTGTCGCCAGTGACGTTCCGCGAAGCGATCACTCGATTCGCACCAGCTTTTAGGGGCTACGACCAGCACGATGCGCAGGAATTTCTAGCTTTCCTCTTGGATGGCTTGCACGAGGACTTGAATCATGTGGTGCACAAGCCTCCTCCTGTAGAAATGACGCCGGCGCGAGAACACGAGCTGGAAACGCTGCCGCAGCAAATCGCGAGCGTCAAGGAGTGGGGAATCTACAGGCAGCGCAACGACAGCTTTGTTGTGGATTGGTTTCAGGGACAATTCCGCAACAAGCTGACTTGTTGCACATGCGGCAAAGTGAGTTTGGGGAGGCGCTAGGTGCAAAGACCACCGACTCATGATGTTTCTACGCAATCACAGACATCGACGACGTACAATGCCTTTATGTACCTTTCGCTGCCCATACCAACACCGCTCAATGGCAGCAAGGGTCGCGTCACCTTGCATCAGTGCTTGGATGCATTTGTGAGGGAAGAGGTGATGGACAAGGCGGACGCTTGGCATTGCCCTGCATGTAAAAAGCCACGAAAGGCCATCAAGAGGTTGACCATCTCGCGCCTGCCGCAGGTGAGCGTCGCGGAAAAAGTTTCTGCGACGGGAAGCAAATACTGACGACGCGAACGTTTGCGACGCTCTTACAGATCTTGCTCGTGCATCTCAAGCGCTTCGCTTTTCGCGCAGGCACGGACAAAGTGCAGACGGCCGTCGACTTTCCCATCAATGACGTGCTGGATCTGACCAACTACATGCCTTCGCACGCTGGCATCTTGCCGCGCGGCGCACCGGTCAGCGCATCGCAGCAGCCGCCGTACTTGTACCGCCTAGCGGGCGTCGTGCATCACTTTGGCACGCTCAATACGGGTCACTACACGGCTAGCGTGCGCAGTCAGGGTCAGTGGCACTATGCCGACGATTCGAGAGTGGTGAAGCAACCCGATGTTCGCCAGTTGCAGAGCAGCTCACCTTACATTTTGTGGTTCAGTCGATTGCCCAATAGCTAGTGTTTCGCTCGTCTGCACATCTGCTCCTGTTTGCACCTTTTCACTCTTTGCACGTCACCGTTGTGCCTCCCTGCGTGTGCGTGTGCGTGTGCGTGTGCGCGTGGGCGTGGGCGTGCGCGCGCGCCCACGTGCAATTGCAATTCGCCATTGATCCACTGCGTGATTTGCGTGCGTATCAAAGTACACGGGGGAGCAAAGTGAAGACGAGCATGTGACGGTGCTGGATCACAAGTCTGCGGGAGCCGCCTGATCAAGGCATTTTCACCGTAGCCGCACCGGCACTAGCACCGACACCGGCACCAGCACCGGCATTTCTCGCCCTGACCCTTTCTCTAGCCAAAGCTTGTCTTTCTGCCCAACTGGGTTGACGCGTCGCTCTAGCGCGCTCGGACGTGCTGGCCTGCTGCTGCCTCGACTTGGGAAGCACCTTTGGGTGCGGGTGCGCTTGATCAGCCTTCGCCTGCATCTCCGGCAGGCTGTTGTTGAGCGTTGCGGCTGAAACGTCTACTAAAGCTGTGCGTGCTCGTTTGATGCCCGGCTTGTCCGAATTGGAGCGGCTGCTGCTGGAGCTAAAAGGCGCGCCGCTCTTGCCGAGCGAAGATGCAGTGGGAAGAGGGACGTTTGGTACGCGCGCATCCTTGCCTCTTTGACCTAGAAGCGAACGATCCACCAAGGGTGTGGAAGAGACTGCCCGTCGACCAGAGAGGGTACGTTTGGTGGCGCGCTCAACGTCGGAAATCAGAGTGGACGGTACATTGGAGCTGGTGTTGAGATTGTCCGAGGCCACATGCTCCACCTCCTCTTGACGCGCTCGTTTGTTCGACGAGCGAAAAGTACGACGTCCTCCCTGCTTCTCTGTCGCTGCCCCTGTGTCTTCTTCGACCGCGCGCGAACCATCATGCGGCTCGACGGTCAACGCTACCGACACTTCTTCCAGCTCTGAGCGAGAGGAAGGAGAAGGGGACGCTTCTTGCTCCGACACGGCCCCTTTGGCTCTCTTGCGCCTACTGGAAGAGTTGGACGTAGTGCTGCGTTCGTTTTCCGTGGAGCGGATAGCATCGTCGTTGATGCGGGAGGATTTGCTCGCATGTGCATCCACAATTTCATCGTCTATCGCTGCCGATCGCCTACTTGCCCCTGTTCGCGCCGTTTCGCCGCTCGAATCGCTCTGTCGGCTCTTTTCAGACACGCGAGAACTTCGTCGAACGCTCGTCACGTGCGCGGCGGCGCTCGGTCCTGGTCTCGATGTAGACTTGGACTCGGACGCGTCAAGACTGTGCAGGACGACAGTGTTTGACTCTGCGCTGCAATCGCCCTCTTGCTTCTTTGCATCTCCAAAGAAGCTCACGCGACGAGTCGTGCTGGGCGCTGCGCGTTGCGTAGCCGCGATGACGCCCAGAGATTCATCTCTGTTCGTCGCGCCTCGCGTTTCAGCTGGCGCGCGTTGCATCCTCTCTTCTTCCCATGAAAGCCTCTCCAGACGCAACCTTTCCACAGCTCGATCGTTGGCCGTTTGCGCTTCCTTGATCGCCGAGCGAGCATGCTCGAGCTCGAGTTTGAGCGCCTCTGATTGTTGCCGCAGTCTGACGACCTCTGCCATCTGCTCATCAGCTCCGGTCCCGCTCTTGAGCGCATCCTTCCAGCGTCTCCTTTCGCGCTCCAGCATCGACACTTGCTCTTCCGCGCGTCCCAGTCGTGTAATCGCATCCAACAACTTTCTCTCCATCTCCCTCTTTTCCTCTCGAGGTGTTTGTTTGGCGTGGTAAAAGCCGGTAGAAGAAGCGTGCGCTTGGGCAGCAGCTTCTCCCAATTCTCTCGCCTTGTCCGGCTCTTGCCGAGATGAGAGAGCAGTGATCTCGTCGTCGAGATCCTTGACTCGCATGGCGTGCTTGAGCGACTCTTCGACGCGCAACGCTCGAAGCGAGCTCGTACCTTCTTGGAGCGTGTTGAGCACGGCGCGCAAGCGCTTGTGCACGTCGACGTGAGTCGGACTGGCCATGCTGGTGGCAAAAAGTTGATCCATGGTCCACGGATCGTTCAGCGAAGCGTAGAGCGAGCTGCTGCTAGACGACAGCGATGTGCAGGCGTCCCCTTGTCCGCCCATAGGCAACAAGGCGACGACTTGACGCGTCGCCTCCTTGACATCGTTTGCCGCATCCAAGAGCATGGCCTTGTATTGAATATTCTCATCTGCCAATCTGGAAGCTCTCTCTTCAGCTTCGCGCATAAGCGCAGCTTCAACGCCGCCCGTTCCAGCGCGATTAAAAGGTCCGTGCGCGTCGTCTGCCAAAAAGGCAAAGGGCACGCAACGAGCGGTTGGGAAGCATCCTCGAGTGGTAGCAGCTGTCGCTTCAGAGTAGGCTGCGCGCTGACGAGTCGATTGGCGTGTGCTGGACAGCGCGGATTGGTGCGCGCTCGCCTTGACTGTTTGCAGGGCGCGTCGGCTGGATTGCAAATCGGATTGCGCTGCCTTGAGATTCGCTTCCAGCGCTTTGCCTTCGTCTGCCAGGTGTCTGCAAAGCCAGGCGCGCAAGGTGAGCATTGCAGTGCGCACGCGCACCCGCACGCGCACCCACTCACTTGTTTCTATTCCGCTCGCGCTCGCTTTTGCGCTCAGCGCTCAGTCTCGCCTCCCTCTCCTCTTGCAACTCCCTTTCCATTCTCTCTGCACGACTGTTCAGTGCTCGATTTCGTGCGGCTAGCGCGTCTCTAAGATCCACATCTTCAGCTCTCTGACCGAGCAGCGAATGCAAAGCCTGGCAAAGCGCATCCAGAGAGCGCGTAGGTAGCGAAGAGACGTTGAGCGGCTCGCTCAGGTATCCCCGCGAGAGCAGGAGCGCGTTGAGCTGATCGAATGTGGGATGCGATGAGGAAGAGGAGGCGAGTGAGAGGAGCGAATCGTCGGCTGGTGCGCCTGCGGCGACATCCGCGGGCGGCGGGTGCACTGGCTCGCTAGCCTTGCTCGCTTGAACGTCGCGCACCATCGTAGCGGCTGGATGGACGGTGTATGGCGAATGTTGTGTGCGAGATGCCAGGAGATGCTGGGCGGTGATGTCCTCGTCGACGTCACTTGAATGGCAATCGTGAATGTGACTGTGGATGAACATGGCGCGAATCATCAGCGCACCCGTCCGTCCAGACAAGCAACACACAACACGTTTGAGCGCGAGCGCGAGCGCGAGCGCGCCGGGCCGAGCGTTGCACGTGTAGAGTTTCGCGCGTCGCTTCAGCCCTGTCACGTGCCATAGCCTTATCGCCCGCGTGACCCGATCGATGGTCGCAGCAGCAGTGCATGCACGATCTCGACTCGCGCGCACGCACGCACGCGCGCAACGAGTCACCGCGCCGAGATGCGCGCGGCGCTCCTTTGGCGCCAAATTTCTTCTCTTCTTATCGCGCAGACGAGCGCGCGAGGGAAGCATGATGCAGCGCGCGAAATCACACAACATACGCCTCAAAGTGATTTCAACGTCATCTCTTCGGCCACCACCGTTGTCATCCATCTCGTCGGCACAAAAAAAGACATTAGTGGCTCGAATCCTCGACGCCTTCTTCTCCCTCTTTCTCTCTCTCTCACGCCCTCGCTCCTGCATGTTCACCCAACAGACTCGAGACGATTATCTCAGTGATTCGGTCTACAAGTCCATCGCCTGACTCTCTCCCTTTACCTGCCCCACCCTTTGCCGCGCACGTTCGACATCATGTTCGCTGCTGTGCGCGCACCCTCTTCGAGCGCCGCTCGCTCTCTCTCGCTGTGCGCTGTGCGCTCGCTCAGCGTCGTCCGCGTCGGCAAGACGAGCCCCTCGCACACCCTTCCTCGTTCGCCGAGCGTCAGCTCATCCCGCGGTCTGGCGACGGCCGTCCCAGCTCTGGACATTGCCATCACTTCTTCGCCCGCACCAGAATCGCAGCCAGCCACGCTGCACCTCAAATCCGGTCAAGCCATCTCTGGCAAATCCTTTGGCTCTCCTCGCACGCAGTTCGGTGAAGTCGTCTTTACCACTGCCATCACCTCCTACACCGAGTCGCTCACCGATCCATCCTATCAAGGTCAAATCCTCGTCTTTACCCAGCCGCTCATGGGAAATTATGGAGTGCCAGACAACTTCAGCGGCTACAGTCCCAATGGACACGCTGAAGACGTCGACGTTGGAGCTTTCCTCGAGAGCCGCGGAATTCAAGCTGCTGGCGTCGTCGTCTCTGACCTCTGCGAGAGGTTCTCCCACTTTGAGGCTCGCGAAAGTCTGGCCAGCTGGTGCGCTCGTCACGACGTGCCAGGCATTTCGGGCGTCGATACGCGCGCTCTCACCACGCTCCTGCGCAATCAAGGCTCCACCTTGGGAGGCATCGTCGTCGGCGAGAAGCACGACGTCAAGCCGGAAGCTGATCAATTCTTTGATCCGATGGAACTCAACTTGATCCAGAGCGTCAGCACGAAGCACGCCTACACCATTCATCCTCGTCTAGGAGAGAGCGGTGCGCGCGCTCACATTGCTCTGCTCGACTTTGGAAGCAAGGCCAACATCGTTCGTTGCTTGGTGCGAGAAGGCGTCAGCGTAACTGTCCTTCCGTGGAATTACGATTTCAATGCGGTTAGGGATCGCTTCGATGGACTCTTTCTCTCCAACGGACCCGGCTCTCCCAACTCCATCCCCGAAGCCATCGAAACGACGCGCAAGGTGATTACAGAGTGGAACAGGCCAGTATTTGGTATTTGCATGGGCAATCAGATCATCGGTCTAGCAGCAGGAGCGACGTGCTACCGCATGTCCTTTGGAAATAGAGGTCACAATCAGCCCGTCATCAGCCTATCCACTGTCGGCAACTGCATCAAGGCGGGACGCGTGTACGTCACTTCGCAAAACCACGGTTATTGTCTATCGTGGGACCACGATGCGCCCAACGGCGGTTGGCCAGCCGGATGGATCCCTTGGTTTGTCAATGCAAACGACGGCAGCATCGAGGGATTGCGCGCTTCGCCAGAGAGCGGCAAGCTGGTCTGGGCTGCGCAATTCCATCCCGAAAGCGCTGGAGGTCCTCAGGATAGTCACGGCATGTTTACGGATTATGTGGACGAAGTTGTCAAGCTTAGGAATGCAGAGGGAAGAAGCGTGGGAAAGGGACTGGAGAAGGAGCACCTCGTTCAGGCTCCACGCAGCGCTACGGGTACGCCGATAGGACACGTCGTCAATCCTTCCACGGCCAACGTCGTCTCGCCAAAGTGAGCCCGCGCGCGTGCGCGCGTGCCGCTCCTGCGCCTCATTTCCTCGCAAAATTTCCCCCAGACGCACGGCGCCCGCACACATGAAAGTCACTTGAATCGAATGCGTTTGATCTATAGTGGGCTAAAGCGTGCGGGTTCACTTTGCGTGGCCAGCACATCAATCACGAAACTTTGCACCCAAAGGACGAATCCCGTGATTGGGTCCATCTGAACGATCTCGAGGACGTTGCATGGCTCTCGCGGAGCGCTGGAGATTTGATGAGACGTGCGCATGCGTGTAGCTGTTTGGCCCCCATCACTACGAGCGCTTGCGCTCTGCCCTCTCGCTCTCGCTCGAAAGCCGTGCGCGAAAAGGACAATCAACACTGACGCAGAAGACGACCTCTATTTATAGGCGAGAGTCAACAGATGCTTCGACTAAAAGATCGACTGATGAAGGTAACTTCAGGGTGCTATTAAACAGTCGAGTGAAACAAATAGGTACTCGTCTCGATCATCGCAATCTAAAACGATGTCGACCTCAACGCCCATTTGTCCTCAACAACCACACCTGCAATCTTAAAAGACAAGCTGACTAATGACGCGCAGACGCCGCGTGGACAAAGTCAATCTCGCACGATAGTGTGTCCTGAAAACCTATTGCAATTTGTCGAAGCCGGTGCTCGACTCTAGGAAGGGTGGTCTGTTTGGGATCACGACTATTGCACGAGAGAACCCTGTTGTGTACGTCAAAGCCACAACTATTACGAACACGGGGTACGTGCGTGTGGCGCGCCCAGGCCTAGCGCCACCAATCAAGCCACATAAGCCACCTCGGGTCGAGGCCTGCTTCCCAAACCCAATGGACTTACGAAGCCACTCCCGTCCATTGTGGCTTCAATCGTATGCGCCAACGTTCCTCTCTTACACGTATGATCCCCAAATATCCCTAAGTCACTCTCGATGTATGGCACAACTATGATACATGCTTATAGGCGCTGAGCGCCTATAAAAAACCCAGGTACGAGAGACAAGATCTCTCACAAATACATCACTTATGCTCTAATCTTAAGTCCGATCCTACCTTCGACTGCGCTACCGCAAGTCGAGCCCTTTCCCCGCCTATCCATCTGCCACGTGCGGGTTACCGACCAAACAGGTGTCAACCTCAATGAAGATAGAAGAGATCATCTTTGGCATGCCAACCAGCATGCATGCCTTCATACGCACGGCACGCACATCAACCATGGGCTTAGAAGACTTCCGTTGTCTTCTCATGGAACTGGAAGGTGGACTTAGAGCCCACAGCTTTGGCATGAAGCCTCACATTGAGCGACACCAAGAATTTGCTTGCAACCGCTGCGGACACCACGGACATTGGGCGCGCTGTACGCGTCTTGAACCGGTCGCACCTGTACCTACCCCCTGCGTGCTGAATACCATCATCCTACCTCCCCGTTGACTGTGACCGTTGTTAGTTTGGCGTCTCCGCCTGGGCTATTCAGCTACGTCTTCGAGGTGAGTAGGATAGGACCCAGAGCCCCAGTCCCCCAGTTTGCTCGCGCCCGGAACCCCAGCGCCCCAGTGCCCCGAACAATCCAGTCCTCACGTTGTTCGCACGACTTCACGCTGACGAGTGCTGCGCCCATCCAAACCACCGCAGACCCTCACTCGCAACGCAAGACCTACCGCTTCCAAATGGAAAGCATCCAAACCCGAAACTCATCGTCATCGTCGGAAGGCTCGCTCCATCCATACGTCGACAACCCAGAATCACTCATCCGAGCCGACAAAAAGCTTCTTCGTCTGTTGACAGGACAGGCCCGTTCAAGCGCGTCTTCAGCCAACATGACGTCCAACGTAGGAGTCCCCCAGGTCGTAGACCTTACAGGCGAGCTAGATCAAGATGTGCGAGCCTGGCTACGTTCTTTCGAGGCGCAAATGTTCTACTCAAACCGCGACACGGACACTCAGAAGGCCAAAGGCCTTGGGTTTTGCATCCGCAAAGACTCGCCGGCAGAGAAGTGGTACAACGCGCTCGGCGCCGCTGATAAGGAAAACTTGAGCGTCCTTAGGGCAAGTCTTCTCAACACGTTCAAAGTAGTTGACGGGGTGAAGCAGAAAGACCACCTCATCTTCCAGGACCTGTGCCAGCGAGCAATCAGCACAGAGCGTTTGCTGGATGACGTGCTGGATGCGCGCGGCCAAGGCACGATCCCTCGATTGCACCAGTATCTTCGCGAACTACTGGAGTCCTCAAACAAGGTCCCAGTAGAGAAAATGGCAGAAGACATCAAAGCGGACATGGTGTGGAGAGCCATGCCTTACCCCATCTATCTGATGGCTCACGCGCCTTCAGCAAACGAGAAGGTGCAGGCCATGATTCAGCGCTTACTGGTGATCCCAATAGATCACATCCGAAGCGTCGTACAAAACTCATCCAGCAACCGACAAGCAAAGTTCGACCACAAAGAGATCGACAAAATTCGTAAGGACGTCGACGCTTTGCGTGCAGCACGCCCGAGGCCAGCATTTGTGTCAGGACGCGCCCCACGACGCGTCCGACGCCGCGCCCATACTAGAACATTCCCGCCAGTCGCCGCCGCCAGCGATCGC